AGAAAAATCAGGCAACTTAAATTCAGGCTCTTTTACTCTTTATTTTTTGGGTTTTGGCAGGCCCCTGCTAAAATTCCAAAAATGTATAGTATCACAATAAAAGGTAAAAATAAATCAATAAAATGATACCCTCTATCATTTTTTAAATAACATCAACTTACAGTCTAGATTTAGGGGATACATGTGCATGTTTGTCACGTAGGTACATAGCATGATGCTGAGGTTTGGGGTACAATTGATCCCATCATCCAGGTACTGAATATAGTACCCAATAGTTATTCAACCTTTACCCCCACCCCCCACCACACACACACGTTTAGAGTCTGGAGTCAGTTCTAAATACATCAGAGTAAGCCTAAAAACTAATGCAAAACTGGACCATTTTCTTCTCTTCAGAATTGTCCACTGCTTTTCACATATACTGGAATATGATGGGGTCATAGGCTTGTGATTCTAACACAAGGATGGAACAGCTCCTCTGAAACATTTCTTAGGAGGATTAAATCATTACTAAAATATAATTGTTGAATAATTTGGGGCTTTTATTGGCCTGTCTTCTTAAATAATTGAGAATAACAGTGTAAGTCTTTGTACATTTCAGGCATGAACTGTCCCAAAAGATGAGTTTTGCCTTTGCATCCACAGAAGCCACTTCTCATAACTCATAGGGAAGAAAGATCTTTGTTCATTAGACATCACTAAGTCACCATATGCTGAGGTGGCACTTGATTGACGTTTTTGGATCTGAAGGAACACTTCCATAGCTTCCTATATTCACCACTCTCTTCTCTGTGCTGTTCTTCTCCATGCCCCATCATGATACTTGGCTTCAGTGTGTTTCTATTAAACAATAAGGGAAACGACAGAATTTATAAAATAAAGGGTATCCAGTCCAGCCCTTGATGCAGATAGAAGGCCTCCAGGCTCCATAATTTATAGACTGTAGGCATCCTATAGCCTTTCTCGTGCCTCCCATTATATCCTTTTCTCAAGTTCTTCATTTACAATGACCAAAAATGGCCAATAATAGCTTTAGATGTGACTTCTTCTAAGAGTCCCTACATTTTAAAGCAATCAAAACTTTAGTTAAACCAGAAGAATGAATCTCTAGTGGGGTCGAATATCTGAGTCTTAGTATCAGCTAGCTCTCTTGCCTACTTGCTATGAGACCTTTGGCAAGTTACTTTAACCTTCTGGAGCTGGTTTCTTCATTCATAAATGAGAAGGCAGAGTTAGATAAGATATGAGATTCTTTCCAATGCTAACCTGTCTGATAACATTACCATTATGCCTGGGACCATGTTTATGTGAAGACTCATATTCCTGTTTTGATGGAGATAGGCAGACCCCTAGACACATATAGAGAGAGCTTCAAAGAAGTCCAGGCTCTACCATGTCCAATTATGCGTGTAATCTCAGCAACTCAGGAGGCTGAGGCAGGAGGATTACTTGAGGCCAGGAGTTTAAGATCGGCCCAGTCAACATAGCAAGACGCCCATCTCTACTAAAATGAAATTTTTTTTTTAAATTAGCTTGGCATGGTGGTACAGGCCTGTAGCTATAGCTACTCAGAAGGCTGCGGCAGGAGGATCTCTTGAGCCCAGGAGTTCGAGGCTGCAGTGAGCCGTGATCATTCCACTGCACTTTAGTCTGGATGACAGAGCCCTATCCTGTTTCAAAAAAAAACACACAGGCACAGTGACTTACACCTGTAATCCAGCACTTTGGGAGAGCAAGGCAGGTGGATCTCCTGAGGTCAGGCGTTCAAGACCAGCCTGGCCATCATAGTGAAACCCCATCTCTACTAAAAATACAAAAATTAGCCGGATGTGTTGGTGCACACCTATAATCCCAGTTACCCGGGAGACTGAAGCAGGAGAATTGGTTGAATCTAGGAGGCAGAGGTTGCAATGAGCCGAATTCGGTGGGCCATTGCACTCTAGCCTGGGCAATGAGAGTGAAACTCCATCTCAAAAAAAGGAGTTATGATTCTTCTTCAACTCCTGTTCTTCCCACCCCCGCAGTCAAGCCAAAAGGCATAGATGTGACAGGGCGTCTAAGGGGAAACCAAGAACTGGGATTCAATGGTTTGTAAGACCCTTCCCTGCCTTCAGTCATGTTTAAGGGCTGCAAGAGAATCGAGTGCAGGATGCTCCAGAAGGTTCCTGATGCGGCAGGAAGGTGGGGAAAGGCTTAGAAGAGATGTACTTGCGTGACAAGTACAAAAACATAGGGGGAGGTATCTCCATTTTACAGATGAGGAGATAATGTCAGAGGTTAAGGAACTGTGCCAGGGTCACAGCATGTCACCATAGAGGCTAGAATTCAGCCTGAGGTTTTGCATCAAGATAAACTGCTGTATGAAAGACAAGCAAGTAATTTTGGGTCTTTACTTTTTATCCATTGCTTTACAAGATTGCAAATATATGAGTGCTAAGTTAAAAGAAGCAAGTAATTTCATTTTTTTTAAGTGACAGATTTTTGAGGAGAGAGGAATGAAGCAAAAACTAGTGTTTGGAACAATGCAAAGTTAGACTTTTAGGAAAACCATCTTATTTTTACCAGTAAACTGAAAAGTATTAGAGATCTTTTTAACATCTTTTAATGTCATATACAGTGTAAGGTTAATGCTAATGTAATTACACTTGTATATTTGCTTAGTGCCCTGTGAGGATTTTTTCCTGCAACTGAGAAGCTTCTCTTTTTTTCCTTCCTTTTTTAATGTTTTTATTATTTATTTCTTGAGACGGAGTCTCACTCTGTCACCCAGGCTAGCAATTCTCCTGTCTCTCAGCCTCCTGAGTAGCTGGGACTACAGGAACGCACCACCATGCCAGGCTAACTTTTGTATTTTTAGTAGAGGCAGGGTTTCACGGTGTTGGTCAGGCTGTTCTCAAACTCTTGAGCTCAGGCGAGCCACCTGCCTCAACCTCCCAAAGTGCTGGAATTACAGGCATGAGCCACCGCACCTGGCTGTCCTTCCCTTTTTTTTTTTTTTAAATATAAACAAGGTATAAATGAGAAATGTAGCTTATTGTCATTTAATTAAAAGTTACCTACATTCCATACACTCCAAAGATGGTAAATTGGCTTTACATATACGTCTTTTTCTGCAGCGTGTTAATTATATTAAAGCAAATTATCTTGCCAAGACTCCGAAATCCATTCTTTTGTTTGACCTGTGTAGTTATAGATCACCTAAATTGAAGATCACCTAAAACTTGGTTCCTGTTTTTTCATGAATATCAATTTATTTCTTGCTTATCTCAATTCCCAAATGGCCTAGAAGAATACAGATTTATTACAATGTTATACACACGTTCTTGGACTTTAAGTCACTTTTTTTTCTCAAACAAACATTTCAATTTTAGTTATCTTAATGACATTTCCATGGTTTAAAAGAATGTTGTTGACATGCCTTTAATTGGGCAAGTTACAGAATTTATGTGATCTAAGTCTCCTCGTAACAGGAAATATGAGGTCAAAATTCCCTTCTTCCTGTAAGATTCTAGGATTCATTATTTTGTTTCAAGTTAATGCTTTACCTTTACTAGCTTAAAGGTAAATAGAGGGTTCTTGATGAATCACGGATAAATCAGGATTCCTTTGTGTACACACATTTGTAATGTGTACTCATTGTCAAACATTAAGTTACCAGGGTGACAAGTCTAGTGGCTCTGACGTCCTTTTATTTCTTGGCCAGAAGACATCAAGAGTAATCCATTTTGGGTCTTAAGTGAATTTTGTGAGACCATAGAATAATATGACGGCCAGCATGTCACAGGTGTATAGTTGGCAGATAATAAATGATCGTTGAAGTCAACTTAGGTGTGGTTGAATTGATTCTCTTGGTTAGAATATAAACTGTTTCTAAGTAAAGTCCCCCCAACTCCTGAAAAAAGAGAGATTCAAAGCTAAGCCCAGGAAGGAAAATGAACATACAAAGATTTATATGCAGATGTTTATGGCAGCTTTATTTTTACTAGCTTAAAAACTGGAAACAACCAAATGTCCATCCGTCGGTGAACAGACCAGCAAAGTGTGGTACAGCCATACAATGGAACAGTACTCGGAAGAAAAACACATCAAACTATTGATACTTGCAACCACACGGATAAATTTCATCTCAAAGGCATTATGCTAAAGGAAGGAAACCAGACACAAAAGACTACATACTTTGTGGTTCCACTTATAGGAAATTCTGGAAAAGGCAAAGCTATAGGGATAGAAAGCAGAACTGTTGTTGCTAGAGTCTGTGGTGAGAGGAAGGCACTGACTGTAAAGGGGCACGAAGGAATTTTCTCAGGTTTTTTTGGAAATGTTCTGTATCATTTCGGTGGTAATGATATGAATGTATACATTTGTCAAAACTAACTCAATTGTATACTTAAAATGGGTGACTTTTACTATATGTAAATTACACCTGAAATAAAAACAAGCAGACACACCCAGGGCAGCATCTTGAATGCCTTACAAAGTAACTTCGTTAGGCTGGGTACGGTGGCTCACACCTGTAATCCCAGCGCTTTGGGAGACTGAGGTGGAAGAATCATGAGGTCAGGAGTTTGAGACCAGCCTGGCCAACATGGTGAAACGCTGTCTCTATTAAAAATACAAAAATTAGCCAGGTATGGTGGCATGCCCCTGTAATCCCAGCTACTCAGGAGGCTGAGGCAGGAAAATTGCTTGAACCCAGGAGGTACAGGTTGCAGTGAGCCAAGATCGCGCCATTGCGCTCCAGCCTGGGGACAGAGCAAGACTCCATCTCAAAAAATAATAATAATGGCAAAGTGACTACGTCACTTGAGGAAGTAATCATTTTTGAACTTTGAATTTTGAAAGCCTGTTGTTAACAAGATATTAATAGTATTCATTTTTGTGGTGAATCTGTACCAAATATTGACCCCTAAAATGTGTTTGCATAGAGATTAGTGAATGATTTGCTTGATTTAATATCTCATTACATTTTTGCTTTCTTTTTGCCTCTCTCTCCAACCTAGAAAAACTAATTGAGGGACTCAAATCTCCTGACACTTCTCTTCTGCTCCCTGACCTCTTGCCTATGACAGATCCTTTTGGTAGCACTTCCGATGCTGTAATTGGTAAAGTCATCATCTCTGTTTCTTCAGTCATGCATGATATGTATGCCTGTTTCAAGAATGACAAGTACCTAGTTAACCAATCCCCAGGGAATAGCCCTGCCAACCCAGAAGCCAAGGCCACTTAATCTTACTTGTATTACTCCAAATGAAGTGTTTTCCCTGCTTTTCAGGGGTATAACACCTATTTTTTGTTTTTCTTGCTATCTGGAGATTTCAAGAGTGAATCTCTTATGAATGAGGAGGAATGTGGAAAGTTTCCATTTAGTGAGAAAAACTTCACCAAAAAAGTTGGTTTCTAATTAGACTTTACCTTTACTGAACTTAATGAAATTTAGCAGATTCTTCTTTTGCCCTTTTTTTTTTTTTTTTTTTTTTTTTTGACAGTTTCACAATTGTTTCCCAAGCTGGAGTGCAATGGCACGATCTTGGCTCACCGCAACCTCTGTCTCTTGGGTTCAAGTGATTCTCTTGCCTCAGCTTCCCAAGTAGCTGGGATTACAGGCATGAGCTATCACACCTGGCTAATTTTGTATTTTTAGTAGAGACGTGGTTTCACCATATTGGTCAAGCTGGTCTTGAACTCCTGACCTCAGGTGACTCACCTGCCTCGGCTTCCCAAAGTGCTGGGATTATTGGTGTGAGCCACTGCGCTTGGCCCAGATTCTTCTTTGAAGACCCATGTACATCCAGCTGCCATGGCTCATGCCTGTAATCGCAGCACTTTGGAAGGCTAAGACTGGAGGATCACTTGAGCCAGGAATTTGAGATCAGCCTGGGAAAGATAAAATAAGTTTTTTTAAGTTAGCCAGATGTGTGGAGCACACCTGTGTTACCAGCTCTTTGGGAGGCTGAGATGGGAAGATCGCTTTGAGTCAGGGGGCTTCAGGCTGCAGTCAGCCTTGATTATGCCACTGCCCTCCAGCTTAGGCGACAGGGACCCATCTTAAACAAAATTCAAAAATTTTTAAAGGTCCTTGTATGTACCAAGTATCAGTAACTGAGAAAACATTTTACCCATTGGTTAAGCTCCATGAATATAATCCAGGGCAGGGGCTTGGTCTGCTTCCTCTCTCACATTTTCCTGTGTTCCAACAGCAAGGCAGGCAAGATGTGCAAAATGTCCAAGGCCTTTGTATTCCAGGAGGGTCCAATCATGAGGCACATAATAATGCCTTTGGGCAGAAAGTTCTAGAACTCAGAAGTGCCATGACTTTACATAGAGGTAGGCCTGCAGCTGAGAGTGTCCCATGGTGCAGAAGGCCTCCCAGCTGCATCATGGGATGGGGTTTGAGATGGATTAATGGCCTTTGCATGGCGCAGAGGATGTTTGCCCCCAGGTTTATCCCTTAAGAAAAGCAGAATTACCAGAAGAAAATGAAGGCACCTTTCACCCCATGTCTTTTGACATGGAAGAGGTTTTCTGAGCGACATATGCTCTGAATTTGTCTATAAGAACTGATCATTGCTGAGACTGGCCATAGTGGTTAACCTTGTACACACAAGCTCAGTGAAACCTAGACACTCAAAGCAGCAGAAGTGACTTATTGTGCTTTCTACCTTGACTGAGACTGGCATTTTAGAGACCTGTTAGAAGAAAGCCTTCACATAGCTGAGTGCGGTGGCTCACACTTATAATCCCAGGACTTTGGGAGGCCAAGATGGGACAGATCGCTTGAGCTCAGGAGGGAGACACCATCTCAAAAAATAAGAATTAAAAAAAAGAAGAAAGCTTCACAGAATTTCCTGAAGAACCTCTGACTTCCTTTCCCTTACCCTTTCCTCTCCTTTCTTAATGCTCTGTTACGAAAGAAAAAGCTGATGTTGCTGTTGAGAGTCTCATACCAGGACTGGAGCCCCCAGTTCCCCAGCGCCTCCCATCTCAGACGGAATCCGTGACCTCAAATCGCACAGGTCAGTCAGGTGTCTCTGCAGCTGCAGGGACTGGTCATTGTGGTGAACCTCTGAGCCAGTCTTTTCACCTGGCTCCGTCGATCCAGGGCTTATTTTGCAGCTCAAGTAGTTCTTCCTGAAATGGACACTGAATTGTTACAGCCTAGCTTCTAGATGTTGAGGGATATATTTCCTTGCTAAAGAACTGAGTACTTTTTGGAGCCATGTTCTTTGTGGAGTGATCTCTGGGCTTTCTGTGGTTATAGTATTTCTTTTTTGAAGATTCTTTTCACTGGTGGCAGGATCCCTCTACCTCCTTAATTAAAGAACTCCGCTGAGCTGTAAGATACCCTTAACCCTCCAGACTGCTGTGCATCTTTCTAGTCTACCAATGTCAGTCATGTCCATGGAGTGCATCTTCTGTATATTGATGTTCTGTTCCCAGCACAGTGCTTCAATCGTGTATAGGTAATTTGCTGTTAAATTGTAAGGCAAAGTTGAAGTCTTCCCTGGATCTAGTATTGCTTGTACTCTTAATTTCAGAATTCAGTCTTAAAAGAATTTCTTAACTGCCCATAAATACAGATTTGGTAACCTTTTTTTTCTTTTTTTTTTTTTTTTTTTTCCATAATTCCCCTGATAGAAGTATTTGGTTTTTGAACTTGGAATAGAAACAATTAGAAGCCTAGGAAATGTGAGGATAAATTCATCCAAGTGAAAAAAAAAATTACCTCCAAAGACAATATATTTTCCTTATCCTCACTTAAATGTTTTCTCTTAGCAAGCTTTCTCAGAAAACAATTCTTGAGTTAAAATGCTTAAACTTTGTATTTTTGTTTTGGTTTTCCAAAATCAAAATCGTGTTCAAAGGGCCAATTTAAATGTAAAGAATACTAGTAAGAGGCATTGTGAATGGGAACCAGGATGAGTTCTAGAAGGTACTGTTTAATCCTGTCGAATTCTGCTAATAACAAGCCTGAGGCAACCCTCTCCTAATCAGTTTGGATACTTCTTCTTATAGTAACTTCCTTCTATGAGTGTTTAGGGAAGATTTAAGTGAAACTCTAATCATAAAGTCCTTTCTCTCTAATGGCATTTGCTAAGAACTGAAGTGCTAAAGTTATTTCAGCATCTAAGTCACAGACTTGTTTAACCTCTGAGTAAAAAATTATCCTCTATTTATATATTAATGTTAAGAGGAATCTAGAAAGACATGTTTCTATAGCTAGAAATCCAGAAGGCTTCACACAATTCTTTTGGTTTTCTTTCTCCCACCTTGGCGTGTATGTGTAACGTGTAAATGCAGTAACTTAAAGGCTAAGATCTAATCTCATGATATTGTTGTGTGTGCCACTTAATGCCATCACTGACCTGGGATGCTATTAATCTGGACTCAGATTCTCTCACCGGGGAAGATTCCCTGCTTGACTGTTCTCTGCTCTCTAACCCTACTACTGACCTTCTGGAAGAGTTTGCCCCCACAGCAATCTCTGCTCCGGTCCATAAAGGTAAATGCTTTCTTCTTCTCAGGCCCACATATGTCCTTAAAGGGAAAAGAACTAAACAACTTTTGAGAGTTTTTCTTATCAAAAGTCTTTACTAGTGAAGTTTTAAAACTACCTCCTTATATGGAAAACTTGAGGTTGTACTCCTAGATACTGTGTTATAATACCTCTCGGTGAGAATATTTAATAAGACAACACGCCAGGTGTGGTAGCTCAGGCCTACAATCCCAACACTTTGGGAGGTTGAGGCGAGAAGATCACTTGAACCCAGGAATTTGAGACCAGCCTGGACAACATATGGAGACTCAGTTTCTACAGAAAATTTTAAAATTGGCCAGCAGTGGCAGCATGTGCTGGTGGTACCAGGTTCTTGGGAGGCTGAGGTGGGATGATTGCTTGAGCTCAGGAGGTAGAAGCTGCAATGAGTCATGATTGCACCACTACATTCCAGCCTGGGCAGCAGAGCAAGACTCTGTCTAATAAATAAATAAATTAGTTAATTAAATACATCAGTAGAAGACAGGTACTAAAAAGAAATAAGATTAAGTGTAAAAAAGACTTAGCAGATTGGTGAAAGTATTGCTTTCTGGCAAGAACATAGAGTGCAGGTATTCCATGTTACCTTTAAGAGCTAGGTACCGTTGCAGTCAATTCAAGTGGATGGTTGAAGTGACTATCCACTGTCTGACTATAATGATCGATATAATGCTTGTTGGCCTTAGAATGTAAAATGCTTTTATCAAATCTGATTCAAAGTTATTGCACAGTGATGACTGCAATAAAGAAATAAGCATCTTGCCTCAAAAGCCAGTCCTCCAAGGTTGAATTTGTAGAAGTTTTGAATTTTAGTTCACCTACAAGTCATGATTGGTTACTGGATTTCTCTTTCTAACCTACCATTTTCATTTGTTGGTCTTGAGTCAATAGTGGTTTGAAATCCTGCCGGACAGAGGTAGCTTGAATCCAATTCTTTTCAGTGAGTAGTTCGTGACAGTGTCAGGCTCAATGCCCGGCTTATTGTGCGCCAGCATTTACTGAACTTTCTGTGATTGGGTGGTGAAAGTGGTCTTCTGGAAAGAGAAAATGCATAGAAAAGGAAAAGCTTAAGTCCCTTCAAAAGAAAATTTAAGAAGGAAGACTCCCCAGGATGACTAAAAATAATCACCCCTGAGGTTTGCAATGATTAATAGTTGAGTTTTTGTTTTTACCCTGATGACTTTAAAATGATTATGTTTTTATAGATTATAGAGGAAAGTTACCTATTTAGACAATGATATCTAGCAGTGATGTGTCAGCAGCAATGTAGAATTATAGAGAAGCATCATTTGCAAAATAGGTGCCCAGCTAGCACTTGCTTGCTGGTAGGATAGCTTTAATTAGACCATTCTAATTTGTTAGAACACTGTTTGTTAGAAGACTGTTCTAACACACTTCTGCTTGAGGCCTTGGTATATGTGATCTTGCGCCTCAACGTTCCCTGGGGCATGTGAGTTGTTTCAGTGTCTTTTTTCCCAGTCACAGTGCAGTGAGTTCTTCCAGAAGTATTTTGTTTGCCTTGTATACAGCGGTTACTTCTTAAAGAACCGCCAATTCTCTTCCTCCTTCCCCTGCCCCTGATTTTGAGTTTTTCAAATATTGTTAGGTCTCTGCTCCCTCAGTGAAGACAACAAATGACTTATTCCTATGCCTTTATGGATTAGTGACATTAAAGAGATACCTCACAATAATTATAATTAATATCTTATAAATAATACAGTTCTTCTAGGAACCCTTCTCCCTAATCATTTATAAAAGTCTTAACATGGCCAACTCTAAAGCATTTTTTTCTATATCTCTGTATTTTCCAGTTTTGCTACTTTTATTTCAACTCAGAAAGATAAGTACTTTCACCTTTAAAAACAACAGGGCTGTACAGTTGAGATCTTTGTGCCTCTTTCACATTCTCTCATTTGCTAATCTCTACCTCTGTTGTTTCTGCTTGTGTACTTGCATTCTGTATTAAGCTGCAGAAGATAGTAATCTCATCTCAGGTTTTGATGTCCCTGAGGGCTCGGACAAGGTGGCGGAAGATGAGTTTGACCCTATTCCTGTATTGATAACCAAAAACCCACAAGGTAAGAAAAAGGATGGGGAAAAGAGAAGAGCTTGCCCTCAGCTCTCGTCAAAACAGTCATGCACCTAATCGGCAAGGGGAAAGAAAAGCATCAATAATTAATGAAGGACATTGCGGGTAATGAGAATCATTGTAGGCTGGACCAATAGAGACAGACAGAGATAAAGTTTGACCATGGTGTTTATTTAGAGAGAGTATTTAACAGTTGGCTAAAAGTTAGTTTTTACCATGAAGCCAAAAGCAAAGTAATCTTCAGTCAGTGGAAACCAGAAGGTATATATCAAAAGCACATAGCATTTTTTAATCATGATTAGAATAATCCGTAATAAATATTGTTCCCAAAGAGATTAACAGCTGTGTTTTGGTATCATTCCATCTTTTTGACATTAATGGAGTATCCTTTTTCCACTTTGATGGATGAAAATCATTTGAACATGCCATAAAACACTAAATTGCCATAGGACCATCTATTTATTTTTTAAAGCGTGTTCTTATTCCAGTATCTTAATAACTAGTTTATCCCCAAAGCAGCAATTATTGATTTTTACTTTATCAGGGAGATAGCTTGGTATTATCAGGGAGATAGCTTGGTATTATCAGGAAGTTAGTGTGCAGCCAGCAATTCTCAACCAAAAAAAGTGTTAATTTGCAAATAGTGCCCTCTTTGCAAAATGTCCTGCCTATACTGTGGTGTACACAGTGCCTGAGCTTTTGGTGGGAGGTGGTGGACAGCTAACGTGTATGTTTCAAAATCAACATGTAAGGGTTTGTAAATGTAAAATATTGCTTCTCTAGGGTTTGGATTTTTTGTTTGTTTGGTTGGTTTTTCTTCTTTGCTTGCTCTGCGCATCTAAACCTTAACCCTTTATGTTTTGTACTGAATTCCTATCTCTCCACTTCCAGGTGGGCACTCTAGAAACAGCAGTGGGAGCTCTGAGTCCAGTCTTCCCAACCTAGCCAGGTCTTTACTGCTGGTGGATCAGCTCATAGACCTGTAGCCGTGACCCAGTAGCAGATGCAGTTCTGTAACCTTCATACCGTAAAATACATTTTCATTACAGAGTTATGAAAAAAACGATTTTTTAAAAAAAATCTGCAAATAAGGGGCCCTCCAGCCCTTTTCTCCTACCCCTTGCCTTCTCCTGTAGAAATGATAAGGAAAGAAAATCACTTTGGCCCTCCAGATATTTCTTGGCCAGTTCCTCCCTGTTAGTTTGCTGTGTTTTCTCATTACCCTTCTTCAATAGCATTATCTTAAATCAAGCGCTAGATGCCATGAGCTTCACCTCTGCTGGAGTCGACTCCACCAAAAGCTTAACTATAACTGAAACTAGTGAATTGACACTTTTGTCTCATTCTTGCTAGGAATGGCCTCCCAAATCAATTCTCCCAACCCGTGTCTCCTTTGGCCAGATGCTGATGAATGTGTTTCCCTGTTTTTGCTTTTTATCCTGATGTATTATCATGAGGACATGGCTACTTCAGTTGGTCTTAACTCTAGGCAGTAGCCTGGAGATGGGTGTTTTATTTCCAATGGTTTAAGAAAGGGTAAAACTTACTGACTGGTAGTATATATATATATATGAGAAGAGAAATTGAGCCCGACTCTAGCCAACCAACTTTGACCTTGTTTGATCATAGACTTAGCCAAGGGATTTTACACCCCATGCAACCTGCCCAGCATTCGTCCAGCTTTCTGGCTTCCATTGAACCGTGATTTCTCAGATCTGGAGACGTGACTGCAAGTACTTGAGACCCTTGGATAAAATGTGTATGTTATATAAATCCCAAGTATTGCCATTCCTTTTCATGTTAACTGTCCCAAGTGGGATCTCAGAATTAGACCAAAACAAGACAGTGGTGGTAATATGATACCTTTTATTAGAAGACTTTTCACTGCGGGAGGGGGGAGGATGGGGAGGGGAAGGAATTGTAGCAGAAACAGATGTATTTTTCTTGTGATTTTTATTTTGAATCAAATATTGTAAATTGTGTATAAATGAAGACGCTGAATAGTTCTGTTTCCACTTGGCATTTCAAGTCTGATATCAGGTGTCTGTACAGGGTTTTGATCTCTTTCCCTTGTATAACAACACAACAATCCTACAGTGTAACATATAGAATCATTTTGAATAGACTTGTGTGTTGCTATAAGCTTTCAGCAGGTCCTCTGTCTCTAGAATAAGCATGTTGTTTATTTTCAGATAATCAGAAATAAGTGTGCTGACAAGCTGGACACAATCTGAGTGCCCACGTTACCTTTCTTTCTCTCTGATGTTTAAATCGAAGGCTGCAGCCAATGGAATATGTTCAGTTGATTTTCCTTGGCTTCCTAGATAAAAAAATAATAATAATAAAACAAAACATAGTTCTTTATTAACTTTAGGATATTGTTCATAAAATAAATAAAGGCCCCTGCACTAACATGACAACATGCCTCATGGTCACCCTCTGTATATGTACTTACTCATTAAAGTGTGTTTTATTTCCTTATGTGGAAAGCACTTTTATAAATCACCCTTTTGAAAAGAAATGGGCACAGAGAACCCCACTCTTGTTCTCTTCCTCTAGTGCTATTGTCCATCATCAAAAGGGAAACTCTTAGTTGATCAGATTTGTACAAATAAAATTCCGAGTCCATTGCTTGTTTTGCTATCTAGTACTTTTGTTTCTTCTTCCTCACATTTGCACTTTAAGGGGGGAAAAAGTTTAACAGCAACAACAGCCTATGAAACACTGCATTCTGGAGGGCAAGGTTTGGCCCTAGGAATGGTGTGAGCAGACTTTGAAAGGTATTGGAGGAAAAGTCTGAATCTTCCAGCCTTCCTTCTGTCTTTAAATACGTCCTGTGCTGGCTGAAACAAGACGAGCTAGGTAAAGACCTTTAGTTGAATAATATTTCCAAAATGGAGAGAGGCACAAGCTTCCTGCCGAGGATTAAAAAGCAAAAGATATCCACGAAGGGCTCTCTGTGGTTGGGTAGCAGTGAAAATAGGACTTGGTTTACCCCTTTATGGACAGGAAAATTGCTGCAGTTTGGAATTGTATTCTCTTTCCTGGACATAGAAAGAATGTATTAACTAATGAAGGAAATGTTTATTTTTAAATAAGAATAATGTTTTAGTTCTGCATTTTCATATTTGATTTTTTTCATATATACATATTAGAAATATAATGAAATATCTAGTTTCTCAATTGAAACTATGAAGAGTACAGTTTAGAAATTAGGTATCTCTAAATTGTTCTTTTGATAATTACATTGAGATATATTATCTAGTCATTTGGCTCAGTAAAGCTTAATGGAGGCTGTTACTGAAAATGAGCAGACTAGAAGCCAGAGATGGTAGTAGAAGCCTGAGGGAGATAATGACAAGAAATTGTCTTGGGCCTACTTAGAGTAAGGCCTCCTCAAAAGGGAGAACTATTTTTCCGTTAAGGAACATATACGAGTGCTTTGGTAAACGGGGCCTTCCTTGGTTTATAGCATCATCCCTGAGCTAAAAGAGTTTATTTGAGATGAGCATAGTGTGCTAGTACCTGTGGAATCATAGCCTGAGCTACAAAGGGACCTTTGAGACCATCCTTTAGTCCACCATCCTCTTCATTTTACAGGTGTGGGACCTGAGCTGGATTGAACAGGGCCGGGGGAGAAGAGGCCTGGGCAGGACAGGCCACCTGGGATCTCATCCTGGCCCTTGCCAGCTACTGGCTGAGTGACCTTCAGCAGGCACTTCACCTCTCAGAGCTGCTGTTCCTTAGAGTTATACAATGGGTTTGGACTAGATGGTCTTTAAGATTATAGAAGCATAGGGTCCTAAGTAGATATTATTATGTTTAGAAGGGCTATGAAGGATTTATATAATCCTGATGTTCTTCAGTTATCTTCTATAGTTCCTGCTATTTCAGTGGCAGTGTTTACATTTTAAAGAATTATAATGGGCTTGTACTAACTTGCTCTTTCTTGATTATCTGAATAGAAGCCTAAATCATCATAGTCTGAGAGATTTTTCTTTTTAAGTATTACAGAAAAACATGCGTGTAAACACACCTACCTATTCTAATAAAATGATATCAGATTTCTTCTTAAATGTATAATCAGGGATTTACCAGTTTAAAACGGGCAAATACTGTAAGCATATGTTTCTGATTTGCTTTTATTCCAACCATGTAAGAGGAGTAACTATCACAAAAAAGAGCAGAAAACATCACAAATCGATTTTCCCTTTACAACATTCAAATGAGCCCCAATGTTTTCAAAAACACATACCTCAGAGGAGATAGGGCTTAAATGGGCACCCCTGAGTATGATTGTGATTATTATAATTAATGATTTCTTTAGCAGATATATTAGAATTTTGACATCTAATTAAATGTTGTTCCCTTCAAAGTCATCTAGTTTTACTTATGTAGTTATTATTCTAATGAGGCTGCCATCCTTAAAGTTATTTTTGACACTCTTCTCCTTAGAAATAATATCAAGGAAGGTAATAATGTATAAGAAAATCAGTTATATTTAATTCGTATCACTTTGAGAAAGCATCTGAAAGTATACTCTTTCTTTATCTACTTTTTCTACTACTCTTGGTTCTGAGTAACATTTAGCCATTTCCAGAAAGCAAATTCAACCCTGCAAGATGAAGAGTGGTTACTGTTGAAGACAGTAAAAAGAATAATCCACAAAAAAGTCTCAGAGAGGATCTTATAATAGAAAGTGAATATGATCAAGTCTTAATTTCTTTAATTTTCAGAATAAGGAAACTTCTGTGATTCCCTCGTCTTTAGAATGGTTTAAAAAATTGAAACATATGGGTATTAAAACACCTCTGAAAGAAGTTGTCACTTTGTTTAGTGTTGATATTGGACTTCACTTTTCCTGAAATAGAATTACAGAACTTGGATTGCTAATACTTGTAGAAAAACAAACCCAAGAAAAGAACTTACTTTTCTCAAGATGTAATATTTGTTTTGTTGTGAATACTTTTGTTTTTTCTGCTTTGAATACTTACTTCCTACTCTCCTGACAGATAATCAACCAATATAACCTTCCCCAGGTCAGGAACAGTTCTGCCTTCAGCGCTGCTATGGGAATGAAGGGATCTTTGGGGCTGACAGCCTGCAATATGAAGGGATCGCTGAATAAATACATGCTATAGATACCTTGGGCCAAAATAAAGTCTCTCTTGATAAGGTTTTTCTGGGATTTTCCAGAGTCCTTAACCTTCTCAGCCTATAAGATTATCAGACTCTCCTAGCTGCTAACTTTGAGCTTTGGGATGAAAATGACAGGATTGCCCAGTGTTCTGGGTTAAGCAACTTAGAGGCTGCCTGGCAGAACAGAAAAACTATCATATGAATATTTACAATGGAATCTTTCCTGAAACACTCCAGATACTGCAAAGCTATCTTTTATTCTTCTCTAAAGTCTATAATTTTATCAACACAAAGTTAGCCTTTTCTTTTCCACACTAGTAATGTTTCTGAAGTTGGATGTGCTTAGGTTTCTTATCACAATGAGTCCCAGAAAATCTGTAACAAGAAAACTCTTTTGCTTCTCCCAGATTTCCTTTCACTAACATCAGATAGGGAGGCTCCTGGGGTAATGCTAACCTATTCAAGAAGTTTCCAAATGGTGGTAGTTGCTAGAATGAAAGACACTTTCTTGGATCATACTTTGATGTAGTGTCCTGAATTTACTCTTTCCCATGAGTATTCTACTCTGCCCTATTGCACTCTCCTTTGTCATGTGGATGTGTATTTATCATAGGTCTTTAACCTGTCCTTCCCAAGAAGACAAAGCAGACAGTTGTACATGAAGATACCTTATGCAGTAAAAATGTGAAATTTGAACATTGCTGCACAAGTATTGTATAAAAAAAGTCTGTAAAGAAATTTCTTATGTAAACATACAGAGGAATAAAGACTTTTATCTGTTCAAATGGGAGCATAATGTTTAGAGATGTAAATAACTTAAGTTGTTCTTTTCCTGAGCTGAAAACCCACTTTTTTGCAGAAAGGATTTAATCACAGTGTTGAGTGACAATAAGTACCTGTACACAAGAAAAGTGTAGCTACATACTGAGGACATAGTAATGAATCATGGCTACCCGAAAGAATAAACCTTCTATGGCCAAGGAGAATTAGACGCCGGCCAGCCTACATTGGATATGACCAGACACAAGTTTGTAAAATGGAGCACAGGTTTGCAGCTTCCCTCCTCTAACGTAATTCTTAATATACCCAGGCCAACTTAATTAAACGTTTTATGTTGGCAGGAATAATTTTATCCCCAGTGAGGAAGCGCTCTCATTTAATTGCCTCATTGGCTTGAGAGGCACAGCTGGCCATTTTTGGCTTCCATCAGTTCCCTCATTTCCTAGTCATGGGTTTTAATGCAGCTGCCCAATATGTGGTGGAACCAAATGCCTACTTTTATTATGTGAACTAAAAGGTCATGGAAATTATTAGTTTGATGTACATCTCTTGGTTTCCCTGGTTTGGTTCTAAGATTTTACATTTCAATTGCTGTTGCATTTCCAAGTTTTTGTGAAGGAGTAGTTTGCTTTGTATTTACTAATTATATGAGAAGGCTTCTTCTCAATACTCCAAGTCTTCATTTTCCATTTTTGGCAACAATTATATCTTTGATACTCCGTGTAACTGTTATTTCAGTTTATGGTATGAAGGAAACTAAACTTCTGGTTGTGCATGATATATTTCATTAAGGAACATCCATCCTGACATTTAAGTCTTAAGAGTTTGATTCTTTAGGGAGCATTCTGATGACCCTCACTATGTCAGTCAGCTGGAATTTCCAAGGGAAACCAATCCTAAATGATTCAGCACTTTTGGTTGCTTTGGAAGTTAATAGGGAGCTGGTGAGGATAGTTGCCAAGTCATCAGGTATTTTAGGGACTCTTTCTCTTCCTTGAAGCATGTGAATTCTTGCTGAAATCTACAGAATTTGGAGCCTCAAAATAGACTAATATAGAGTTACCCATATCGGAAGTGTCAAAGTGCCCAATCTGACACACAGTCCTACATCAAAGCAAGAAAAAGAAGTGTGTTTTGACTTCTTGCTTAATTTTATGTGCAGAAGGAAAATAAAAAGAGGCATGACCCAGTTTGAGGGAATTATAACCAAACCCTACCTTAGGCTCTGTGATAAGTAAGACCCTGAGCAGACTGTGAAGCCAGGCCCTGGGCTTAAGCCCCTGAGGTACAACAGGCAGTGTGTACTGAGTTCTGTGGCCACAGGTGTCTGCTATGGTGTGCTATTGGTTACCAGAGGAACCGGGCCAAGGCATGTGGTTAAGTTGGTATAAATCCCTCATTGTTAGTAGAGAAACTATTTCAAACACATTTTCTTGTTGACACAATGCTATTGTCATATAAAGGAACTGTTCACCCTGAAAACACATTTTCCCTATAAGAACACATTCACATACTCAAAAAAAAAAAAAAATTTTTTTTTTAATTTGCCAACAAGATTTAATGGTTACCTTCTGTTTATAGTATATTTGGAATGTCTCTTTCTCTTGACTACCTTGTTTCTGGTGCCACCACCACCAGAATTCCTTAAGTGAATGTGGAGGTCTGGGCTTCCCCCATATTCTCTGGCATTTCTTTGGCCTTCAGAGTACCAGGCCTGGAGAGTTGCAAAGTGTGCTTGCTCTCTGCCTCAGTCAGTCATACTGTACCTCCTCTAAGAGTAGAAAGGTTAAGGACTTGGCCTTCTCAGGAGAACCCTTTAAATGTAGTTTTCCACTCCTACAAAGCCTATTGATGCTGAAAGAAAGATAGGAAAGAGCTCTAGTCCTTGTTTTGAAGGACAGGAGACTAATTTTCCGTTCAAACTTGATATTCTGGTATTTTTGTGACTGTTTTGTGAATTATTCAAAGTTGTTGGAATTTTAAGTCTGATTTTCCCCTTAGTCATCGTGAAGGTCATAGAATATGCTCTGAGTTGGAATGTTTGCCAACCGGGTTCTTGACCGAAAACCTACTTTTTAACAAATAATTTTGATGGATTAGACATGTGCTTCCGTCCTCTCCAACTCTGGATATGGGTACACACACACCCTTGGTACTCCCCAGTTCTCAAAATGTAATCTAGCACTCTAGGCATCCAGGGTGCCCCTGGCTCAATAGATAGCCGGTTTGCCAGTCTCCACACACAAATTGTTTTTACTGAATTTAGTTTAAATTTCTAAAAAACACTGACTCCAGTCAAACTAATGTTCATTGTTTACTGACCTGTATGATGTCAGAATTGGTCATTGGCTTGACTTTAAGTTTTTCATTTTTTTCCCTAAGAGATACTTTGCTCTCCTGAAGCACAAGCTTAATAACATCAGCTTTCAGGGTAGTTTTGGAAGATGAGAAATTGTGCTTTTGTTTTGGCAACTGAAAACGTTGTTCAACTGATGCTGTGTGAGGAAGCTGCTTCCAGGAGTTTTAGGGCTCTCTTGTCCCGCTTTAAGGCTCTGCAAACCTTATTTTAGAAAACTTATTTTTCTCCCTTTTATTTGAATTTCCTCCCAGAAATTATTATCTTGGTATCACTGAGACAAATCTAATATCAATATACTTGCCTGAGAAATTAGGATGATGTCTATCCACATAAATTACAAGGGAGAAGGTGTTCCGTTTATTTCCTGTCGACTGACTGTTGCTTTCGTATTACCGTGTAGTTGCACATATTAAAATTATAATTCAAGGAAAAACTTATTCTCTTCAAAATCTTATTCTTCAAATACTGTTCAGAAAGCCATTTGGCAGCAGTACATAATTCAACTTAACGCTCTAATCTGAAATTTACTGAATTCATTCAAACTGTTAGAAAGGAAAATAAAAATGGAGGAAAAACACATTTTTGTTTTGTTTCTGAAAACAATATTTAAGGTCATAACTGTTTAAAAAGAAGCACTGCTAAAAAGTTATAGGATTCATAGAAACATAGTATTTTTGTACAGTATCTTATAAAATGTTCAGATCCCTCTCTACCTTCTCTTTACAATGTAATGTCTCTAAGTGACTGGTTTCCCAATAAACTGATTTTAATGCCTCTTCTGCTGTGGTGTCTGTGCTTAATTGAAGCAGAAACTTTAGCAGGGGATAATTTTGGGCAGATATTTCTGCTAGCTAATGGTTTGTGTAGGAGGGAAGAGGGTCAGTATGGGAAGGAGATGATTGAGTTGCATCTCTACAGAGGTTCTGGGTCATCTGTGGCTCCAAATCATTGTATCGAATATTCTTATCCTGGTGGGTTGGGAAAGTCCAGTAGTATCTCTTTACTGAGCCCATGGTGAAATGATACCTTTGCCCCCAACCACCCTTTCTCTGGATTCTTCTTGCTTAGTTACATATGCCTTTTTCCTGCCCTTTTGCTAACATGTGCCCAATGACATACTTCTAACCTGCTAATATTTCTTGGAAGGTAAGCTCTATTGCATTCTGATAATTGTCTATTTGATTTTAAAAGCCAGAGCACCCTGAGGCACCTCTACCTAGATAGAAATAGACTAGTATATTGGAGTTTGCTAATGCTTCTGTAATTGTAATGACCCACGCATTTTATTCCTTCTGCTTAAAGAAGTTTATGACAGATTCATTTAAGCAGAGGAGATCTTTATGAACTTAGAAAACTGAAAACAAAATTCTGAGGCAACTCCAGCTGAAGGTGATTTATTTGGTCTGCTTTCGATGCCGTATGCTCCCCTTAGAAGGTACCTTCAGTATTTATATTTTGGGCACTCTTGTGCTCTTTGAGTAGTGCTTATGATATAAGTCATCAAGTAAACTTGCATTTATCAAGCAGCCACATTCTGCTTCTTTGTTCCTCTGCATGTGGAGCAGATGACCACATGCCAGATTCTGAATTGAGTCATCCCCAGACAGTGTTTCTACATAATCCCAAACTGTCATGGTATATGTGGAGATGAATGACTGGGTTTGTTTTCATTCCATAATGAGCCAGTGCCAGGTAGAGCAGGTGTCCGTGCCTGGCCCTGTGTGTAGGAGCATTGCATAGTTAACGCTGAATGTCTGTGTGCCTAACATCTTCATCTCCTTTCCTGTACATCGTGCCTATCATGTTCCAAAACGTGAGACAGTGGTTGGTTGTGTTCCAGTTTGTGTGCAGTTTCCTTGCCTGACTTTTATTTTTCTGTTTTTCCTTTTGCATTTTCAACATCTATTATTTGGTCCCACAATGTTTTTGCCGCGGGTTGACCATTGAATGTTCCAAAGAGAATTGACCTATACATTAATTCTGCATTTTATGCTTTTCTAGGTCTCCAGAGAGAGTCCAGTCCCTGTCCTGTAGTAACTGTAGAGCACTTTAAAGAATCACTGGGTGTTAAAGGCCTTTCCCTATATCAAGACTCCTCCAGAGTACCTGGCACAAAGACTCAGAACAACTTGGAATCCGACTACTTGGCCAGAGATGGCCCTTCAAGCAACAGCTCATTCCACAGCAGCGAAGAGGAAGGGACTGACCTTGAAGGAGACATGCTGGACTGCAGTGGGTCTCGGCCTCTCCTTATGGAGTCTGAAGAAGAAGATGAGAGTTGCAGACCCCCCCAGGGGAAGCTGGGAGGAGCTGTTCCATTCACTCCACCAGAAGTCTCTACTGAGCAAGCAAAGACAGTGCAAGGTGGAAGAAAGAACCAGTTCTCAGCCCTCACACAGCCAACCACTGATGGGCTCAGTGAGCCAGATGTTTTTGCCATTGCTCCTTTCAGGAGCTCAAGGGTTCCAAATGATGACATGGACATTTTCTCCAAAGCCCCATTTGTCTCCAAGAGCAGTGTGGCTCCTTCGCAGCCAGAGGAGTCAGACGTGTTTTTGAGAGCTCCCTTCACTAAGAAGAAAAGCGTGGAGGAGTTAACAGTTACCCAGAGCACCTCTCAGGAGCTGCCTGCACAGGCTGGTCTCCTCAGTCAGACAGGTGACATCCCCTTGCCCTCAGGCCGTGAGAGAGCTGTATACACCTCTGTCCAAGCTCAGTATTCCACAGCTGGTTTTGTGCAACAATCTAACCTCCTCTCCCATTCTGTACAAGCAGCAGACCATCTGGACAGCATCTCTCCCAGGGGATCCTGCCTGGAATCGGGGAGTCATCCTAACGACAGAAACAAAGGACCTCAGCCCCAGAAAGAAGCTGTCTCAGGCCCTGTGGCTGGCAAACCATTCCGCCCCCAGTCCTTATCCAAGTATTCCCGTCACTATAGCCCAGAAGATGAGCCAAGTCCAGAAGCCCAGCCCATTGCTGCCTACAAAATTGTTTCACAAACCAACAAGCAGTCAATAGCTGGGTCTGTTTCCATCTCATCCCTTTCTTCCAGGACTACGGAGCTACCAGCTGCTGATCCATTTGCTTTAGCACCCTTCCCTTCAAAATCAGGCAAGAAACCCTAGGAGCAAAACCTGAGCCTCAGGCCTCTGTCTCTACCCCACCCTCAATACCCGCCAGGGCACTCCCAGCTGAGCCTTCCCAAGGAAAAATATTATCAGTTCTTATCTTTCAGTTCCCTGCGTCAGAGCAGAATTTCTTGAGTCAACAAACTCAGTTGCAGTGATACTTAGTTGAAGCCCCTTTAAGTTATATTCATTTTTTTGTTTGTTTGTTTATATTGATTTCTGGACTTTGAGGCATTTTCATCTCCTTCACAGAGGTCATCCACTTCCACCAAGAACTCTGTTTTTTTTTTCCCCCAGAAACTGTTTAAATCCAGAAATGCTTCACCCCAATCCCAAAGGGGCCTTATTGTTGCTAGTTTTAATTCCTGTAGCTCCTGTTCTAAGTCATGTCCATCGAATAATCAAGATTAGTCCCTCCACCAAATTAAGATTTAGTGCTCTTGAAAAGGGGAGATGTCTGATAAAAAGCCTGCACATCAACAGGAAGTATAATCCTGCACTAACTAATCATTCCTGTAGAAGCAGCAGCTCTAGGAGTCTCTGGATCTGTTTCTCAGTCTGTGTGCGAGCCAGGCTGGCCCTCGTGCATGAGCGTCTGTGGGTGTGGAATGTACGTCAGAGCCTATGTAGAGATACAGGCAGATGGGATAACTGCCTGTCTAGTCATGTTGGCAAGGCTTTCCCCACATCCATGCTTTTGAAATTAGTATGAGTGTACAGGTTTGTGTGTGCATGTATGTGTGCGTGTGCACAGGAAGCATTTCTCTTTAGTAAAGCCTGCCCCATCATGCCTTCCTCCACAGTCAGATCACTCATTTTTTGGTGTTTGCTCACCTAACTGACTTGAATGCTGTTTTATTTTATTTAGTTTTCTTCTTGTGGCAAAATTGAATACATTGGAAAATGTAGGGAAATCCTGCTAGAACTGATGTTTCAGAGTAAATTTTTTTTCTCTCCAGAATTTCCTGTTTGCTATTAACAAATTACATTTACCGGGTTGTAAAAAATTAATTTTCTTTATACATTCTCTCCTCACAGCAATAGAAAAGAATACCTTGTTACAGTTCCAGCCTCTGAGTATGTGGACTAAATGCCATCATTAGGAAATTCATTCATCATCAGACTAGGCTATAAACTAGGCTTGCTTATTTTGGGGTTGGTTTTTTTGTTATTGTTGTTTTACCCAAATCCTTGCCATCTTTCTCTGCTGCCCTTTGAGGAAATGTAAATCTGAGACATGGAAATAAGTGTTTGGGAAATGGGAAAGAGCTGAATCAGGTAGGCATGAAAACTTTTACATTCTCTACCGTCTTTAGACGTTGAAATAGGTCAGACAGGTTAACTGTTTTTTAAAATGTCTTTTATTTCTGGAAAGATCTGACTTATTCCTAGCTTTTTTCATCTCTATTATTAGTGCCTTAAAATAAAGCTGGCCAGGTGCGATGGCTCATGCCTGTTGTCCTAGCATTTTGGAAGGGTGAGGTGGGAGGAAAACTTGAGCCCAGGAAGTTCAAGACCAACCCTGGCAACACAGTGAGACCCTGAACCTACAAAAAAATTTTAAAATAGGCCGGGCGCAGTTGCTCACGCCTATAATCTCAGCACTTTGGGAGGCTGAGGCGGGTGGATCACAATATTGGGAGTTCAAGACCAGCTTGACCAATATGGTGAAACCCTATCTGTACTAAAAATACAAAAAATTAGCTGGGCATGGTGGCACATGCCTGTAGTCTCAGCTACTCAGGAGGCTGAGGCAGGAGAATCACTTGAACCTGGGAGGCAGAGATTGCAGTGAACTGAGGAAACGCCATTGCACTCTGGCCTGAGCAACAGAGTGAGACTCTAAAACATAAATAAATAAATAAAATAATTATCTGGGTATGGTGGCTTATGTCTGTAGCTACTCGAGAGGCTGAAGTGGAAAGATCAATTGAGCCCAGGAGTTCGAGGCTGCAGTGAATCATGAGTGCAGCCTGGGTAACAGAGTGCGACCCTGTCTCCAAAAATATAAAAATAAAGCCTATATCTCAATGGAAAGATTTCTGCTAAGACAGTTCAACTTAATAGAGTTGCTGCATTAGGTTTCAACATGAATGCTGTCACTTCGAGTAAAGGGTAAGTGATTTTTCCATTAGCTGTAGAAGTCTGGAGAGTTATTTACCAAACCAGATCAATGATTTAAAACTTATTGGAAATTCATCTAAGAATCAAGTCTAAATGCCCAATTCTATTGCAGTTCATTAGTGTGATATTCTTTAAAGTTCAGGAATATTGGCAGTAAAATATGAGCAGCTACTTTTCAACTCTTTTTCCTTTTTTTGGTTGGTCTCCACCTATTTCACATGTCCAGATTAAAACATAAATAGTTGGCATTGTGCCAAGATTTGGTTTTCCTACCAAGGTCTCAACTGTGCCAGAAATCTATGTCTTCCACTTTGGTGGATGCTAAACGTTTTTTCTGAGAATTTGCTTTTTTCAATTCTTGCTTCTGACTTTTCTATGTATGAGTGGATGCAAAATTGTCTTTCTAGTTGAATGAATAATTTTGGCTAATGCACATGGAACTTTGCACCGCAGATTCTTCCCATGGCCATTATCAAGTGAAACCCTCAAAAGCATGAACTAAGAGGCCAGGAATATTCAGGGAGAGCAGGGAGAGTTCTCACCCCAACTGAGAAATTCTATTTTTTTCCCGAGATGGAGTCTTACTGTGTTGCCCAGGCTGGAGTACAGTGGTGTGATCTCAGCTCACTGCAACCTCCACCTCCTGGGTTCACCACTGCACCCAGCCCAGAAATTCCCCTTTCCAAATATTCAGGATTATCTCTGTAACAGCCCTGCAAAATGTTTTTTCTTTGGTTATTTGATAATTCTCTTCTAATCAAGTGACTATTTTAATTCGCAAGGTCAAAATCAGAATAAAATCATGGTGATTGTACTATAGTTGACTACTTCATCAAACATGAGCTTGTATCCTTTTTAAATTTTTCACTGGAGGCCAGCGGCTCATACCTGTAATCCCAGCACTTTGGGAGGCTGAGGCAGGTGGATCACTTGAGGCCAGGAGTTTGAGATTAGCCTGGCCAACATGGTGAAACCCCGTCTCTACTAAAAATACAAAAATTAGCCGGGCATGGTAGCACACGCCTGTAGCCTGAGCTACTAGGGAGGCTGAGGCAGGAGAATCGCTTGAACCCAGGAGGTGAAGGTTGCAGTGAGCCGAGATTGTGCCATTGCACTCCAGCCTGGGCAACAAGAGCAAAACTCCTATCTAAAAAAAAAAAAAAAAAAAATTGTCGCTGGAGATATGGTGGGTGAAGACTCTACATACCTTCTTTGAATACAGAAATGGATGTAAACACATGCAAATTACTCTTGTTTTTTTTTCTTGGTGATACATGAAAAAACTTTGACTTGTGGATTACGCTAATTATTAGTAACTGTTATTCTGCAGACTTGTATTGCAGTAGGGTCTTATTTCCTTAAAGAGAAAAAAAATACAGTCATGCCCCACTTAATGATGGGGGAAACTGTCAGAGAAATGCATCCTTAGGTGATTTTGTCATTGTGTGAACATCACAGAGTGTACTTAGCATATAGATGATATAGCCTAATACCTACCTAGGCTACATGGTCTAGCCTATTGCTCCTGGGCTACAAACTGTACAGCATGTTACTGTACCGAATACTGTAGGCAGTTGTAACACAATGGTAAATATTTGTGTATCCATGTAGATATAGAAAAGGTACAGTAAAAATACGGTATAATTTTATGGGACCATCATGGTATATGTGGTTCATCATTGATGGAATCGTTTTTATGCAGCACAAGACTGCATATAATCAACAAATGTCTATACTTCTTGTTTTTATTTGTTGTGTTTTTGCTTTACACATTTGTTAGGGAATATAGAGCTTGTGTCCTTTCATTTCAGTGGAAAGCAATGAGCCAGAATATATTTATTCATAAAGCATTGAGCCACACATGCATTGATGAACCCTGAAAGAATCCACATTAATTGATTAACAGGAACTATTGAATTAATGATGTCATATGTGGTGAAAAATATTTAATATATTCGTTTCTTGGACTTACATACAGCCCTTTAGCTCCAAGTGCTTGGTTAGATTAGAAAATGGGACGAACACAATTTGATGCTGAAGCAGCTGCTGGGCAGCATGTAGGGAGTCTGGGTCATACACCCTATTTTGTTTTGGGTCCACTTATTATTGAGTTGAAAAGTCTCATATGTGTATACTAGAATGTATGTGTTTACAGGCCCATGTTGTATCCGAGTTTTCTCATGCAACTAAGATCTCTTTCTAAATGTTCTAAAAAGATACCAGTATCTTACTGGCCCATTATTTAGTAAGTTTTAGAATACATGTACATCAGTGTTTCCAACTACTTGGTGGACATTTCACTAATGCATCATGGAATCAGAAGAATAATCTGACAATGGAAATTCTATATTTGCTTCCCTAAAAGAATCAAAACATATATCAGATATAATGTGTGTGCAGTATATCACATAGGAAATTTTATTATAGAAAATGAGAGAAGGATGCTACTCAGTTCATTCTCTAGCAGGAAGAATACAGCTTAAAATCATTTGAGTCCCTTTAATAAAGAAAAGTGTGATTATCTGTTGTGTGTTTGGAACTGAAATTGGAGAACACATACCAGTCAACTGTGAAATGGTTGCTGGTCTCACAGATGTGGTTTTATCTGAGAAATCTGGAACCCAAATTATTTTGATGAAAGGTACATAAGGGAACTGCAGAAAAGACTGTAGCTTCTGAGGAGGCAGGAGTACTTTGTTAATGTCCAAACCACCTCTGAGTTCTAATGTTCCTATACCATCTAAAGAAGTAAACACTGAAAACTTTAAATGGGATCATCTAATTTAAATTCTTAGTCTTTTCTTTGTCTTTCTTAACTGATACTTGTAGTTTTGTTTTGTTTTTAACCACCAAGAACACTTGCAGATTTGTTACTGGAAACATCACTAAAGGAAAAGAAGAGTTTCAAAATGCTTGAAAATAAAAAGTAGTATGTGGTTGGGAATTGTTTTTGTTCAAGTTCCTGGAAGTCTTCCTGGCTTACCTCCCTTGTTCCTGTTCTCACTTCATTTCCTTACTTGACATTCCGCTTTTTTGAGCATATCAATAAGTGCATGATGAAATGCACAGTTGAATGATCATGTAAACTTTAATTGCATCCTTTGTTGCTGTAAACAGTTTCTTCTTAAATTTCAGCCAAGTCTGTGACAATCTCACCAATAAGAATGAAATGGGTGGGGTGTGGTGGCTCACACCTATAATCCCAGCACTTTGGGAGGTTGAGGTGGGCAGATCGCTTGAGCTCACTGGTTCCAGACCAGCCTGGGCAATGTGCCAAAACCCTGTCTGTACAACAAATACAAAAATTAGTCAGGCATGGTAGTGGATACCTGTAGTCCTAGCTTCTTGGGAGGCTTAGATAGGAGGATGGCTTGAGCATGGGAGGTTGCAGTAAGCCAAGATTGTGTCACTGCACTCTAGCCTGGATGCAATAGAGCCAGACCCTGTCTCAAAAAAAAAAAAAAAAAAGAAAAGAAAAGAAAAGAAAAAAATGGCTCACTTCCCTATTACGTACTAAAAGAAAGGTAGGTTGGCAGGACCCCAGCCTTAGCCTTACTCTGTAGTGACACAACCCAGAGGGACCTCTCCTGGAATGCAGGGTCAAGTTTATGTGTGAAGGGACTTAGAATAGCTGGCAAAAATGGCTACATGTTAACCATTCATGGCTTAGTCTAGTATTCCCATAATTTGTAATTCCATAAATTTATTCTCAACTGTCTCCCAGCCATCTCTAATAGGAATATATGTGCCCCAGTTTTGACAATGCTCTTGAAACCAAGTTAGTGTTACCTGCATTGCCTTAGAACTATATGTACATGTTAAAGGGAGCCGTTTGATTCCTTTAATGTGTACATATAGGAATTGCAGAATTGGTTTTTACCCATACCAGTTAAAGTAGGTTAGGTTAGTCTTTGGGGGCAGGGTGAGACAGGGCAGGCTTTTCACTCTGAAATGGCAAATTAGCTGTATTCTTTGAGTCTACCAGAGATTCCCATTTGAGTGTGAATGGGGCGTGTGTGTTTGTGTGTCTGTGTGTATGCTTATTCATCCTCATGGTTTCTTCTGTAGTGTTAATTCGGGCTTTCCTGATAAAGGCATCCAAAGAGTACTGAGAAGTGACCATAGGTATGTGGCATGAGTCAATTTGGTTCCTTTTGCCCAAAACTCTCAAAGTTACAATTGGAGTTCTTCTCGACAAAAGGTTGGGGAAATCAGCCATGACTTTATCTTCATTCCCAAGTACACATCTTACCCACAAGGATAAAACTCTGTAGGGCTCATCCTGAGGGCTCATGTGTTGCATTGGGAGGGCAGCAGTGACCAGAACACCACAAGGCCCACAATATGTTTTGAATGGGGGAACATTTAATGTCATTCGTTAGGAGATAGAAACCAAATAATAAAGGACAAGGACCATGCTCATTCCGTGGAGAAGAGGTGAACTCCCTTTGCTATTTGGAATGGATTAAATAAGGAGGCCACCCCAGCCAGAAGGAGTATTGAAGTCATCAGGCCTCAGAAAACAATGTGCACATAATCTTGGGCTGTGAACAAGAGAAAAGAGGGGAGAAAACATGAAAGTCAATCTTAACAATTTTGCAATACCTCTTATTTGCAGACCATTGGATTTATGTTACTGCACTCTTGGTGTGATTTATCATATGTATCTGATAGTTTTTATGAATTGTTTTAAGTTGTAAACTCCTATACCCTTTATTAAAATGGACCGAATTAAATGATTTATGCTTTGTGCTATTTCTTAACTCAGATCTCCCTAGGATTGAAGGGATTCATAGGTATCTTTCACTTAGTGTGAAGCGTAGTAGTATACTTTTATATTCCTAAAGAGAGGACAGCATTAAGAGAAGTCTAAGAGAGGCCAGCATTAACCTCAAGAGAGAAGTCTAAGAGAGACCAGCATTAACCTCAAGAGAGAAGTCTTAGGAAAAAAATATACCTACGAATTTTAAAAATCCATACTGGGAAGGAGAACCTGCCTATTTCCTCTCCAAATTTGAGAAAATAACACAGAGTGGTATTTGCCTGAACTTTAATGAGCTTGACTTTGTCATGATTCAGGGAGAATGGGTAACACCTCTGCTGAGTTTGCAGAGGTGGTGTTTGAACAAGACCCAGGAATCCAAAGAGTTCTGGTGTTATATGCATGAGTGAAGCCAAAGTTGCCTATTTCTGAAAATTTAAGACCTAAATATATACCCCACCAAATTCTACAATGTGAAGTTCTTATCCTTTTCCTATTTCAAGTTAACATTAAGCAAAAGCACAGTCTTTTTTGTCTGTTCCTCCGCAGTTGCTCTGGGGAAAGCTCTTTTCACACTGCCACTGAGCCTTCTGTTAAGGTGGGCCCTGCCTTCCAAGTAGGGAACACAGGAGTTGTAAGCACAAGCTCCCACAGGTGGGCTCTGCATTCACTGTGTCTCACTTTTGCCCTTAAAGCTAGTTGGTAATAGACCAGCCAGGGAGGAGGTGCCCTTATATCACCCCTTAACAGCCAAGTGAGGAACCAGGGTGAGACCCAGGGGAAAGCCATGAGCAGGTGGTTTAGATCTGCTTCTCTAGATTTAAGTCAAAGTTATTTCCCCGTCCCCTGTTACGTATTTTTCCTTGAGTTCCTCTTTTCTTATATTGGAGTAGTAAGAGTAAGTAGTAAGGGCTTAGCTTAGCATGTCAGATTACATGAAAGGAGACCAAGTAGTCCCTCAACCTGCTATTATATAAGCTTAGCCCAGATGCCCCAGAAAGAGACATATTCTCTTCAGAATGCAGCCCAGGTGCGGACGTGGATAAAGGACTAATGGGAGAAGCACATGGGCATATTTGAATGATCAAGCAGCTACGCTCAGCAGCAGAGGAGAAACTCTGTAGAGAAGGAACAGATGAAGGAATAATAGTAACACGTAAAGGGACAACAAGCACACCTAGCACTCAGTTCGTGGCTTTTAAATACCATTCTCTAATAAAAAGAGCCAGGGCTCCATGGAGAAATGGCTGATTCTAGGGCTAGCGTAGGAAATATACAAGATGAACCAGGAGCATCTTGTACTGCAGTGCCAGAAGGTTAAAAAGTACTTAAAAGCCGGGCGCGGTGGCTCAAGCCTGTAATCCCAGCACTTTGGGAGGCTGAGGCGGGTGGATCACGAGGTCAAGAGATCGAGACCATCCTGGTCAACATGGTGAAACCCCGTCTCTACTAATAAAAAATACAAAAAATTAGCTGGGCATGGTGGCGCGTGCCTGTAATCCCAGCTACTGAGGAGGTTGAGGCAGGAGAATTGCCTGAACCCAGGAGGCAGAGGTTGCGGTGATCGCGCCATTGCACTCCAGCCTGGGTAACAAGAGTGAAACACCGTCTCAAAACAAAAAAACAAAAAAAAAAAAAAAGAATTAAAAAAAAAAAATGGGGCCAGGCGCAGTGGCTCACCCCTGTAATCCCAGCACTTTGGGAGGCTGAGACAGGTGGATCATGAGGTCAGGAGATCAAGACCATCCTGGCTAACATGGTGAAAACCTGTCTCTACTAAAGATACAAAAAATTAGCTGGGCATGGTGGCGGGCACGTGTAGTCCCAGTTAGGAGGCTGAGGCAGGATAATCGCTTGAACCCGGGAGGCGAAGATTGCAGCGAGCCAAGATCGCACCACTGCACTCCAGCTTGTGCAACAGAGTGAAACTGCACTTAAAAAAAAAATGTTAGGCCGGGCATGGTGGCTCATCCCTGTAATCTCAACACTTTGAGAGGCTGAGGTGGGTGGATCACCTGAGGTCAGGAGTTTGAGACCAGCCTGAACAATATGGAGAAACCCCGTCTCTACTAAAAAAAAGTACAAAATTAGCCGGGCAGGGTAGCACATGCCTGTAATCCCAGCTATTCTGGAGGCTGAGGCAGGAGAATTGCTTGAACCCAGGAGGGGGAGGTTGCAATGATCTGAGATCATGCCATTGCACTCCAGCCTGGGTAACAAAAGTGAAACTCCATCTCAAAAAAAAAAAAAAAGTTAAAGTGGTAAATTTTAGCCTGGGCAATATAGTGAGACCTCATTTCCACAAAAAGTTTAAAAATTAGCTGAGTGTGGTGGTTCACACCTGTAGTCCCAGCTACTCAGGAGGCTGAGATGGGAGGATCACTTGGGCCATGGAGGTGAAGGCTGCTGTGAGCCAAGATCATGCCACCACTCCAGCCTGGATGACAAAGCGAGATCTTGTCTCAAACAAAATAAAAATTTAAATTTAAAATGTTAGGCTGGGCACAGTGGCTCACTCCCTCATCAGTTGCGATGAGCCGAGATCACGCCATTGCATTCCAGCTTGGGCAACCAAAGCAAAACTAGAGTTTCGCTCAGGCTGGAGTGGTGGCATGATGTTGGCTCACTGCAGCCTCGACCTCCATGGCTCAATGGCTCCGGTGATCCTCCCATCTCAGCCTCCTGAGTAGCTGAGACTACAGATGTGAATTACCAAACTCAGATAATTTTTTAATCTTTTGTGGAAATGAGGTCTCACTATATTGCCCAGGTTAAAATTTACCACTTTAACGTTTTTTTGTTTTTGTTTCTGTTTTTGTGTTTTCTGACATGGATGACAAAGCAAGATCCTGTCTCAAAAAAAAAAAAAAAATGTGTATATATGTGTGTGTGTGTGTGTGTGTGTGTGTGTGTGTGTGTGTGTGTCAGGCATGGTGGCTCATGTCTGTGATCACGGCACAGAGGAGGCCAAGACAGGAGAATCATTTGGGACTAGGCATCTGAGACCAGCCTGGGCAAACACATTGAATTCCCATCTCTACCAAAAGAAAAACGGAAAAATAAAGAGTCGTGGGAACACAAGAGCCAACATGAAAAAACTCCCAATGGTCAAAGCTAGAACAAATTGAGCAATAAAATAAACACTATATTATTAGATTATAACACATAGGATAAACATCCATGAGCCCATACTGGTATAAAAAATGATTAAATAAATAAACAGGATAAATGTGGGAAAAAATCTCTCACACAGAAATTCAATTAATCCCTCCCACAGGAAGTGGAACTCAAGACTTTCTGTATTGAAACCCAGCCACACTCTTTCATTTTTGTATTGCCTGTGGCTGCTTTTGCTCTACAAGGACATGGTGGAGGCGCTGCAACAGAGACCATGTGGTCTACAAAGACAAAAATATTTACCCTCTGGCCCTTTACAGAAAAGTGACTTGACCCCCACTCTAACTAATTCTTGCAACCTGCTCCTCTCACCTCCTGCCCCTGATAAGCACATTCTACTCAGCAAGCTGGGGTCCCCTTCCCTGCTAGGGCCCCTCATTAGCAGAATCCCTCCAGGACAGCTCAGCCTGGCTTGCTTCTGCAGAGCCCGCTTGGCCCATAGGAAAGTCTTGGCATCCTTGTCCCACAAAATATCGGGAATGCAAGCTGGTCTCCTGTTCCTTCTCTCTTTGCTCTGCCACTTGTGGGCTACTTGGACCTGCCTCCCATCTCTGGAATTTATCCCCAAACTCCTGAGGACACTCCAAGGACTATCTTACCATATTTTATCCCAAAATTGGGGAGACTGACCCCAAAATTTCTGCAGGTCAGGAAGCCTGCAGCCAGAGAGCGAGACTTCACCCTCCTCTATCATAGGCACCCTGGGACCTATAAGTCTCGGTTGGCTTGTCTTCTGTAACCTGGATGGGTTGGGTGGAGGTGTCACCGTTTTGTTTTGTTTTTTAAACATATTTCAGGAAGCCTAACCACTTTAAAATGTTTTTGGCCTTATCACCCAATGTCCTTGACTTGGAGGCTTAAGCCAAAACTCCAAGTCAGCAGGAAAGTCCCAGTCCATACCCTGTTACACAGGGCTACCACGCTGGGTAACTCCTGTAACGATTCACATTGCATCCTATTTTATTGTGGCCCCTGGAGTTAAGCAGGACACACCCTTCATAACCAGAAGAGGTAGCCCTCCAGCTACATCTACATATACAGAGCTGCAAACCTGAATGACCAGGTGTTCCCAGGTATTCTCTTAGATCTCAAATCTAAGGACACCTGGCTTTGGAGGTAAAAGGAGAGTACAGTTTGATGAAGGAAATCAAGGTTTTGTTGGTTATTGAGGTAATCATTAGGTATAAAATAGTAGAAGAGCTATAAAGCTTGTAGAGAAATTTTGGGAAATATAAAAGCAGGAACTTTGTTTTAAAATGTTTATTCCAGGTCTGGCATGGTGGCTCAGGCCTGTAATTCCAGCACTTTGGGAGAAGGATGCAGGAAGATCGCTTGAGGAGTTTGAGAACAACCTGTGCAACATAGTGAGACCCCATCTCTACAAAAATAAAGATAAGAAAATAACTGGCACTGTGGTGTACACCTCTAGTCCCAGCTACTCAGGAGGCAGAAGTGGAAGTATCACTTGAGCCCAGGAGTTTGAAGCTGTAGTATACCCTGATCCCACCACTTCATTCCAGCCTGGAAGACACAGCAAGACTGTGTCTTAAATATGTGAAAGGTTTATTCTGGATTATTTAAGAAAGATTTTCTCCCTCTTAATTAACAAACGAAAGGCAGTGCAGAGGGAGCTGTATGTAATTAGAGTGATAAATGGAAAGTACTGTCTTCATTGTTATATGCTTAACCTTTTTTGAGACCTTCACCAACCTCTTAGTAAAAATAAGGTCACAGTACAATGTGACTCTGTCTCTACTCCCACCTTCCCTGTGGAAACAATGACTGACATCTCTTTCCATCCATTCCTGGGATCATGTGTGCTTGGAATAGGTTCTGTTCTGCTACCATTTACTCATTTTTTTCTTCAACTGCTCTGCTGCCTGCGACCAAATTAGCCCCAGAAGGTTGTTAACAGAAAAATTTTAGACAAATTAAATTTAACAGAGCTTAATTGAGCAAAGAATGATTCACAAATCAGGCAGCTCCCAGAACCAGAATAGATTCAGAGCAACTCCAGGATTGTCACATGACTGGATAAGATTTATGGACAGAAAAAGGAAAGTGATCTATAGAAAATAGAAGTGAGGTATAGAAACAGCTCAATTGGTGACAACTGGGGATTTACCTTATTTGACCTGGTTTGAACATCTGACTGCCTGTGGTTGACTGAAATTTGGCTCCTGTGACTGGCTGAGACTCATTGCTTGTTAGAAGAGTATGTTTACACATCAAGTTGGGTTACAATTCACTGTGTTTAGAAAAACGTATCTTAAAATATGTAAGGAGGCAGCTTTAGGCCAAACTTAACCATTTTCTCCTTTTGAACAACCTCTCAATTTGAGAGATTAAAACTTTAGGCATTGATATAATTCTGTCACCATCATACATGGAATTATTTGGTTTCAAATTTCACTGAGAAATAGAAGAACAGTGGGTTTTGTAAGGTGGGAACAAAGAAACAGAACAATAGGAAAAAAACCTGATTGGCTAAGGGTTAGAGCAGAGGGGGACTTCCTTATCATGCTGGAATCTCCTGTTTTCAGGAGAAAAAAAGAAACAGGTCTGTTGGGGGGGTCTATCTGCCTCCTTCAAGTTTCAGTTTGATTACATTTAGCATGAGTCACTCCATTTTGGTTTGTTCTGGTCTGTTGGGACCTGGCACAGGGGCTCAGTCCAAAACAATGGCCTCCCATAATTTTATTTAACAAGACCAAGGCACCTATGGTGTAATGTCTTCCCACTTCTCCTGTTCAGATGGGGGCCGCTGCAGCCTGCTTCAGACCCTCACATCCAATCAGCAGTTAACTGTGCTCCACTGGTCCCACTGGGGTACAACATGCCCCACTTCTTTCACTGGCTAGAAAGCAGCAGAATCCTGGGCTCAGGGCTCACACAGTCCTAGATGTTTTAATGAAACAACAACTTTTGTATGTCACTTTTGTTTCAAACCCTCTCCCTGAGCCTGAGGCAGAGTTCATGGGGGTTGGTCCAGAAGACAGTCTGAGCATCTGGGCTCCCTGACCTTTGATCAAACATACGGACTGACTCTTTCCTCAAGAAAGGAATTTTTCCCCAGGATGAATTCTTTCCCAGAAGGCTTCACCATGCCTCAGGTAAATATTTCTCTGCTGCACCTGCCACAACAGCCCAGCAGAAATGCTCAAATCCATCTCATTTCTAGGAAGAACACAGATCAGTCGGCTGACCTCAGGTGTCACTCCTTGTAGAATGTCAGGAATGAATCTAAAAGTGTTACAGGAGAATAAAGCAACAGCATCATTACAGCTACCTATGTGACAAGCTCAGTTCAAGGCACTTTGAATGCATTTTCTCTGACACTCATTTTCAATAGGTATTGCTTCCTACATTTTACAGATTAGGAAAGTTAGCTCATCCATTCAACAAGGTTTCTTTCGTGTTTTGTTGTTGTTGTTTTTGAGATGGAGTCTTGCTCTGTCACCCAGGCTAGAGTGCGGTGGCACGATCTCGGCTCACTGCAACCTCTGCCTCCCAGGTTCAAGCAATTCTCCTGCCTCAGCCTCCCTAGTAGCTGGGACTACAGGCACATGCCACCATGCCCAGCTAATTTTTTGTATTTTTAGTAGAGATGGGTTTTCACCACGTTAGCCAGGATAGTCTTGATCTCCTGACCTCATGATCCACCCGTCTCAGCCTCCCAAAGTGCTGGGATTACAGGTGTGAGCCACTGCACCTGGCCCTAGAAGGTATTTTCATAGTCCAATGATATGATCTCCAAAGTTATCAGAAACTTGTATTCAAGAGTACTTTTCAGTCCTTTCCATAAATTTATTTAAAGAAGAAAATTTCCTTAAAGAAGAATATACACTACTTTTTGAGAAGACTCAAAGTAAAACAATTGTTTGTGGATGACAAAACTCCTAGAACAGCCATGGTTAAATACACAGCTGGCAAGGACATTTGGTGATTTCTGTGGCACCCAACAATTTAACATAATAATTATAATTATTACTGATATTATATACTAAGATATATCAGAATTACAGGAATCTCACACAATTTTGGAACACACATTAACCCAAAGAAAGTTAAACACCATTTCACATTCGGCAATGCTTCCTGTCCCCCACATACAGTCTATTCCGCTAGTGCCTTTGTTGATTCACACCTCTTCTCCAGGAGCTCCCTGAGACCAGGAATTGTTTTGTTCATCTTAATATCACTCCATGAAGGATTTCAATCATCTCTGAGTAACGGGAAACCTAATTAAACAGTAATGTGAGCAAATGTTGACCTAAAAGGAAGAAGCTGAGGCAAAATTAATATAGAGAATTTATTTGGGCCAATGTTGAGGACTGTAGCCCTGGCCATACTTCAGGTTGTTCTGGAGAGTGCTCTGGGGAACAAAGGAGAGGCTCAACTTTTTAAAGAAAAAGACACAAATCAGGGGAGGGGAACAATTACAAAAGTTGCCCATCAGGGATTCTCACTAGACTTTTTAATTTTTTTCCTTGAGACACGGTCTTATGCTGTCACCCAAGCTGGAGTGCAGTGGTGTAATCACGGCTCACTGCAGCCTCAGCTTCCCAGGCTCAGGTGATTCTCCCACCTTAGCCTTTCAAATAACTGGCACTACAGGCATGTGCCACCATGTCTGGCTAATTTTTTGTGGAGACAGTGTTTGCCGATAGAGACTCCCAAAGTGCTGGGATTACAGGCATGAGCCACAGCACCCCGCCCTGATACTTTTTTTTAAGCTAGTCAGTGGGCCTGATAATTTAAAGGGGCTCATCTTCCTCAGATATTCTGCCAGGTGCAGTGGCTCATGCGTGCAATCCCTCGCTGTTTCTCAAGCTGGTCTCAAACTCCTGGGCTCAAGCGATTGGCCTGCCTCGGCCTCCCAAAGTGTTGGGATTGTAAGTGTGAGCCACCACGCTCAGTAGGTATTCTCACTGTTTACAGAAATAACATTGTGACTGGCTATGCACGCTGAACTATAGGATGTGTGGCATATCACAGCTTAACATTAGTCTAGTGCATACATAGCAAGTGACTTCGAGAAGCTATTCTTTAGCTCAAGGGGAATGAGATATTACTGCTGTTACATTTTAAATGCCTCTCTGGGCCTGATGCTTTTTCTTTTTTTATATTTTTATAGAAATGTGGTCTCACTATATTGCCCAGGCTGGTTTCAAACTCCTGGGCTCAAGCAATCAAACCACCTCAGCCTCCCAAAGTGCTGGGATTATAGGTGTGTACCACAGCACAGGCCTTTTTATTTATTTATTTATTTGAGACAGGGTCTTGCCCTGTCACCCAGGCTGGGGTGCAGCAGCACAATCATGGCTTAGTGCAGCCCTGACCTCCCGACTCAAGCAATCTTTACAGTTTATACCCACTAGGTGAAAGGGAAGCTGAGAAATAGGTTTCTTAAATTGGACTCATTGCTATGTGAATAAAATCAGTGTTCACAGGTAAGGAAGAAGGGAGAAATAGATATTGCAAGGTACCTACATTTTCTGCCAAAATCCTCAACAGTTCCCAGCACCGAGAACCCACTTGATGAATAGTTATTGAATCAGTGAATCGATGTATGAGTAAATGACTTTTTGGTCTTTGGCACATGGTCTGGGAATCTTCTTAGTCAACCAATAAAACATCTTTGCTAAGATATAGAGAAAACATCAGTTGTCTATGAGTTATGAATGTATGTATAACGGTGCATACGTGCACGTGTATGCGTGTGTTATGGGGGTTATAGAGCTATAGGTATCTCAAGTTGTATTTGTCCTTTTTCTTAAAAAGTCGCCCACTCTCTAGTATATGTGGGAAGAAGGAAAAGCTGTTTCACCTCTGCTCCTGGCTACTGTCCCTAGTTTCACATGCCACTGGATACGGTCTTCTCCATAAAATGCTGCACCCTGGCTTGGCACAGCACCGGGCGAGGGGTGAACTGGAGAGGGCCACCCTTTCCTTCCTGACTTTCCCTTTCTGCTGTATACACAACCATCACACTGGGTGAAAAAGTGTACTGAATTTGACAAAGGGTTGAGATGCCTCCATTCATTCACTCAACAAATTCCTTTTGAGCACCTACTGTGTGCCAGGCACTTACTAGGTGCTAAGGATACAAAAGTAAGGAGGCTAATATGTCCCTCAGGAGTCTGAGGCAGGAACATCGCTTCAGCCCAGGAATTCGAGGCTGCAGTCAGCTATGATTGCACCACTGCACGTCAGCCTGGGCAACACAGTGAGGCCCTCATCTCAAAACGAAAGAAAAACAAGAGAGACTGACATGTCCTTCATCAAGCTTAGAGTATGGCAGGTGAAAGGATCATTAATCAGTATCCAAATTCATCATTTCAAGTTGTGAGAATGTGCTATGAAAGAAAAGGACAGGGTGTTTTGAGAGAGGCTAACAGAGGAGACAATTTAGATGGAAGTAACAGGGGGCCCCAAGGAAGGGATATTTAAGCCCAGACCTGGGGGACTCAGTACAAGGGAGTTAAGAAAAGAGGAGGGGAAAGGCATTCTCCGTAGGGGGAAGATCTTATGCAAAGGCCCTAAGGGAGAAATAATTTATCATATTTAAGGAACTAAGGATGGGATTGTGGGAGAGAAAGCTGACAATCTGCTTTCAGACACCTCTTGTGCACACATATACAAGCACACACAGACACACAATTTTATATAAATGAGATCACCCTATACACACTGTTTCTAATCTGCTTTGTTTTCATTTAATCTAAGTGATCAATAACTGGCAAAAATTAATGTTTTGTTAACCCAGATTTTGCAAGAGAGAGAAACATATTCTGGCGGCTGACAGAAATGCTAATTGGTGAAATCTGTCAATCACAAAAGAAAGGGAAGAGAAGAGGGCCTGGAATGGGGGCCCAAAAAGCACCAACATGGAGGGGAAAGCAGATGAAACCCTGCAAGGGAATCCGGGGAGGACTAACCAAAAAAGTAGCAGGGAAAATCTGTGGTTCCTGGAAAGCCAAGATATAAGATTATAAAAGGGAGGGAGAGTTCCTCAGCCTCTGATGTTGTGGAGGTCAAGAAAGAATGGAAAATGGTCCTTGAGGTTAACAGCACAGAGGCTGTGGGTGATTTGACTAGAGCAGGCCCGGGGAACGATGGGACATAGAAGTCTCCTTTCAGTGGCTTGAGGAGTGGGAAGTGAAAGGCTAGAGACTAAGAGTGTAGACAACTTTTTAAAGCCACTTGGCTCTGAAGGGAAGAAAAGAGAGTGGAAGAGGATTTGGGTCTGGGAGGATTTTTCTTATGATAAGGAATCTACAAGAGAGAAAACAATTGAAGACAGAGAACAATTGTTCCCAGGTGGAAGAGCCACATTTTATTCTTGATTCAGGGTCAACAAGAGAGTCTTGGACTGTCTCAACCTTGAGGTCTAGAATGGGGGTGGGGGTGGGAACAGAGAAAGGCCACTGGTGGTTAAAAACAAGTAGGCAGCATTGGGAAGCAAACCAAAAGAGGTACAGCCCACTCAGCGCCGAGGCTCCGCTGAGCTGCAGGCCTGAAACCTCACCCACCCTCTTAGATGTGTCTCCGGGCCACAGAAATGACTAGGGTTGTCTTGGGTGTGGTCTCAACCTGTTCAACGACAGGTGTGCTGTTTCCATTCTAGAAACCAGTCCTCTGTCTTCCAGAACTGTGGTTCTCAAATTCAGCAGGCATCAGAATCCCGGGAAGAGTCTGTTAAAACATTACTAGGCAAGGCCGGGCGTAGTGGCTCACGCCTGTAATCCCAGCACTTTGGGAGGCCGAGGTGAGTGGATCACCTGAGATCAGGAGTTCGAAACCACCCTGACCAACAAAGTGAAACCCCATTTCTAAAAATAAAATAAAAATATTACTAGGCAGGGCGAGGTAACTTAAGAGCTTTTGGAGGCCTAGGTGAGAGGGATCACTTGAGGCCAGCAGAGTTCAAGAGCAGCCCAGGCAACATAGGGAGACCTCTTCTCTATAAAAATACTACGACTACCACCACCACTACTACAATAATAATAAAAATAGCCAGGCACGGTGGCTCACACTTTTAATCCCAGCAATTTGGGAAGCTGAAGCCGGAGGATGAATCACTTTTGGTGAGCTATGATCACACTCCTGCTCTCCAGCCTGGGTGACAGATAGATCCTGTCTCTAGAAAAAACAAACAAAAAAAACTAACAAAAAGATTTCTAGTCCCCACCTATAGAGATTCTGCAAAGTCTAAAGTGGGGCCCAGAATTTCTAACATGTTCTAACGTACCGTGTTCTCCTGCTGTTTTTGGCCTCTAGTCTGCACTTTGAGAACCGTTGTCCTTGAGAAAACTGAATTTCCCAGAAAGGTTCTGGAAATAATGGGCTTTGGAACTCTGCTCTGGAAACTAGTCAATGCCTATGTCAATCCAGAAAAGGGCAGCACTGTACCAGTACGTCCTCTGTGCTGGTTGGTCCAAGATGACCGAGTGGCGGGCGACAAGCACAGCCTATGAGGAAGGGTTAGAAACACGTCTACATCAGACCCATGGGGAAGAGAAACGCGAGAACCTTTGAGAGGGGATGCTCCGGGGAGTCTTTAGGGGCAGTCACTGAGCTGGGCCTGGAGACTGAGTAGGGTCCTACAGGGGGGAATGGGTCAGGTTTAGGGACGGGGAACAGCATTCGAAACCGCAGGACCAGCACCAGCTAAAAACCCAGATAGCAGTTAAAGCAAAGTACGGAAACAGCATGCTTTCAGGGTGCTACGTGAATTAACCAGGGCGCCTGCGCAAACAGCAAAGATTTTCCCCCGCCCCCGCGCCTCTCTGGGTCAGGCTGACGCAGCAGGCCGCAAACCTCCGAGCGCAGGCCACCGCACTTATCCGCAGCAGCGCCACCCGCAGCCTGTGGGGTGCGCTCTTCCAAGTGGCCGCCCAGCTCCCGGCCAGCCTGCGCCTGCGCAGATCTTTAATGGTTCTGTCCGGGAGACCCCTGGCACTCCGGATTAAGATGGCGGCGGCTGCCAGGCGGGGCTGGGGAGCTGCGGCTGTTGCCGCGGGGCTGCGCAGGCGGTAGGTGACGAGCCTGGAGCTCCAAGTAGGGGTGCCGCTGGGCTTAGCCCGCTGAGCGTTCGCCGCCTTGCAGACCCTCTCTTGAGGCGGGTGGGTAGTGCATCTGATGGAGCCGGCGGGTCCGCCGCAGTTCGGGGTGAGCCCTGAGGTGTGTGGCTGTAGGTGCAGGAGCCCGGAGCTTCTGTGGCCTAATCCGGGCGGACTCTGTGGAGCTTTGTGTTAGGCTCAGAGACCCGGTGCTTGAGTCTCTGTAGAGACTGGCTATAGAGCCGGAACGGAGGAACTGTTTTTAAATCATGTGCCTGTCTGGCCCCAGGCACTTTGCCAGGTGCATGTCCTCTTTTAAACACAGAATCAAACTGTCACGCAGAAGGGAAGAAAATACCTTGTCTCGTTTCTTCATTTTCCCAATAAGGCCCTGAAAGAGGAGGTGACATGTCCACGGTCAAACAGTTTCTAAGTGGTGGAACTCCGAAGAGAATCCAGACCCCTAGATTCCCTGCACCCACCACCATTAAAGCCCACTCCGTTCCCTTGTTTTTCTTCCTTCCTTGAGCCGTACCTTTGATTTTCACCTTTCAAAGACTTCTCTGAACATTGTTAAGAGGACATTTATGTAGGTGTATCTTGATTTTACTTCTGGAGAAAAAGGCCTACAGAGAATTTGCCCTCGAGTATCAGACATTTTAGTGTCAATGATGTCTTGAGGTTTAAATGTATATCCTAAAAAGATTTAAGTTAGTAGAAGGTTTTTTGTTAGTTACCTACTGTGTTTGAGTAGATGTCGTCCTTGAATAATGTAATCCACTCTTACTTAAAAACAAGACTTTAAACCCATATGTCGGAATGTGCTGCTGCTTTATTCATTCTGCTACCTTTTCCCTGGGCTGAAGGGACAAGAATATTATTCTTCCAGTGTATTTCCAAATTCCAGTGCATCCGCAGATTCAGGTAGTGAGCTATGGAAAAAGGTATTTCTACCCCAAACCTTGGACTTCACTCATTTAATTAGTAATTATTGGGCACCAATTACATAATAAGGGGTAGCAGCTGCCATTTATTGAGCACTTACTGCATGGCCTGGCACTAGTTTAAGCACTTTACATGGATTTTTGGATTCTTTATGAGGTAGCTGTGAAATTAGTTTTATTGTGAGATGAACTGAGGCCATTGTGCTAGCAGCTAGAAATGAAGACAGTTTCTCCCCTTGAGTATGCAGTCTAGCAAGAAAGATATATTAACAAATAATGACAAAGTTGTAAGTGCTGTAATAGATTCATATAATTTAAAATGGTGACAGCTCTTACCAGGATCAATACTGTTTGGAGCTAATGTGGGGAATGGCAGTCAGGACTTCACGGATTATTTGATTCCCATTCAGTGTTGACTCCATTGTTCTCTTGAATCCTCAGTGCCAATCCTTTTATCTCTCCAATAGCATCTAAGAAACTCTATGGGTTACAGTCCCACAGTATCCCAGTAAAGTAGTCTTGCTTATCAATGGTGTATAAGGATTACTAAAGGTAGGAAACAGTTAATCTGTATTCTGTTAATACTTAATTTATGCCCACTCATTCTTTTCCACAAGCAGAATTCCAGTTTTGTGAGAGAAAAAAATGTGACAGCCACTGTCTGTTGCTTCTTGCCTATTTTAAGCAGAAAATAATTAGATAAATCTTTTTTTTTTAAAGTGATCTTCTGTATGATCACAATTTTTGCCTTTGCAAAAAATTTTAACAGAAAATTGTGACAGCGAAAGACTGTTCTAACCAACCACCATTTTGTCTTTAACCTCTAGACTGCCTATTCCTGGGCTTGGTCAAGCCAACTTTGGGAGACATTTATAGTTCAAATGATAATAGCTCTTCCCCAAAATTAAACCACCTTTATAAAGCTAACGAAAGACCACCAGGTTTGGAGGTTGAGAGGAGCCTGAATTCTACTAAGGTATAGATGTAAATGATTGCCTGCCATTATTCTGGAGGTCATAAGAGTTGCAACTTCCCCAATTACTCCTGCAGACAACATCACTCTTGTAGAACCTAAGATTAGCCTTTTCAGGTTTTTGCATTTCTGACTGGTCCACCCACAAACAGACTAAGCACTCAGTAGGACCGTTTTCCACACCCCTATGATTGCATCCTCAACCAATCAGGAGCAACCATTCCCTGGCCTGTCAATCTATCCTTGAAAACCCCTGGCCTCAGTTTCAGAGAGACTATTTGAGTACTAAAACTCCAGTCTCCCTTTCAGCTGGCTCCGTGTAAATTAAACTCTTCATTGCAGTTCCCTTGTCTTGATGAATTAGCAGTTTCTGGACAGTGGACAAAATGAACCTATTGGCAATTATAAATGACTCCTGTGCTTAAAATTTTTCCATGGCTCCTAGGAAGTGGCAATCGTAAATTGATAACGATGATATTTTCAAGTAAACTGGATTTTAAAGTAAATTGCATTAGGATTCTAAGAATTTTCACTATTAAAGTCTCCTTTTACTTCTTTTTCTAGTAATATTTGCTTTCCTTCCTTTGTTTTCAGTTTGTCAAAGCCATCAAAAATAGCCAATTAAGTTTTCTCTGTAAGAGTAAAGTAAAGTTACTACACTGGGTTAATATGTTTCCATCCAAAAAGCATATAAAAAGCAGGGCATGGTGGCTCATGCCTAGAATCCCAGCACTTTGGGAGGCCAAAGTGGGAGGATTGCTTGAGCCCAGGAGCTGGAGATCAGCCTGAGCAACATAGTGAGAACTCATCTCTACAAAAAGTAAAAAAAAAACCAGCTGGGCATGGTGGTGCATGCTTGTAGTCATACCTGCTTGAGAGGCTAAGGTGGGAGAATCACTTGAGGCTGGGACATCAAGGCTGCAGTGAGCCCTGATCATGCCACCACACTCCAGCATGGGTGACAGAACAAGACCCTGTCTCAAAATGAAACAGGAAAAGCATTATCAAGATTGTTGGCTGCATAATCTCAGCATTTTGGGATGTGGAGGTGGGTGGATCACTTGAGGTCGAGAGTTCAAGATCAGACTGGCCAACATGGTGAAACCTTGTCTCTACTAAAACTACAAAAAATAGCCAGGTGTCATGGCATACACCTATAATTCCACCTACTAGGAAGGCTGAGACAAGAGAATCACTTGAACCCAGGTGGAGGTTGCAGTAAGCTGGGATTGCGTCACCACACTCCAGCCTGGGCAACAGAGCAAGACCCTGTCTCAAAAAAAAAAAAAAAAAAAAAAAGGACAATAGTATTTCTCTCTTTCTTTCTTCCTTCCCTCCTTCCCTTCTTCCCTTCTCCTTTCCTTCTTTCCTCCCTTCCTCCCTCCCTCCCTTCCTCTCTTCCTCTCTACCTTCCCTTCCTTTCCCTCCCTCCCTTCTTTTCTTTTCTTTCTTTCTTTTCTTTCATTCTTTATTTCTTTCTCTCTCTCTCCTTCCTTCCTTTCTTCCTTTCTTTTTTCTCTTTCTTTTCCTTCCTTCCTTCCCTTCCCTTCCCTTCCCCTTCCTTCCTTCCTTCCTTCCTTCCTTCCTTCCTTCTTTCTCTCTTTCTTTCTCTCTCTCTCTCTTTCTTTCTTTCTTTCTTCCTTCCTTCCTTCCTTTCCTTCCCTTCCCTTCCCTTCCCCTTCCTTCCTTCCTTCCTTCCTTCCTTCCTTCCTTCCTTCCTTCCTTCCTTCCTTCTTCCTTCCTTCCTTCCTTCCTTCCTTCCTTCCTTCCTTCCTTTCTTTCTCTTTCTTTCTTTCTTTCTCTCTCTCTCTCTTTCTTTCTTTTTCTTTCCTTCTTTCTCTCTTTCTCTCTCTCTTTCTCTTTCTTTCTTGTCTTGCTCTGTTGCCCAGGCTGGAAAGCAATGGTGCAATCTCGGCTGACCACAATCTGAGCCTCCTGGGTTGAAGCGATTCTCCTGCCTCAGCCTCCCAAGTAGCTGGGATTACAGGCATCCACCACCAAGCCTGGCTATTTTTTGTATTTTTAGTAGAGACAGGGTTTCACCATGTTGGCCAAGCTTGTCTAGAACTTCTGACCTCAGGTGATCTACCTGCCTTGGCCTCCCAAGGTGTTAGGATTACAGGCATGAGCCACCGTGCCCAGCCCAGTAGTATACTTTCTATTAGACTTTGTGAAGTATTGAAATACTTTTCAAAACAGGTAATATGGGTTATGAGAGAGGGAAACATGGTAAGGGACAGGAAAGGAGGGAGACTTTCACTATATATGCTTTTTTCCCTTATCAATTTTGAACCATCTAACTCTATTGCCTAGTTCTAATTTTTTTTTTTTTGAAAGAGTCTCACCCTGTCACCCAGGCTGGAGTGCAGTGGTGTGATGTTGGCTCACTGCAACCGCTGCCTCCTGGGTTCAAGTGATTCTCCTATCTCAGCCTCCTGAGTAACTGGGATTACAGGCACATGCCACCATACTTGGCTAATTTTTTTAGTATCTTTAGTAGAGAAAGGGTTTCACCATGTTGGCCAGGCTGGTCTCAAACCCCAGCCCACCTCAGCCTACCAAAGTGCTGGGATTACAGGCATGAGCCACCGCGCCCGGCCCCTAGTTCTAAATTTTTTTTAAAAAGAAAAAAGAAAAGCTTATAGTTATTTGCTTCCTTTGTGCATAACTAAGAGTCTAGGACTACAGGTTGTAAGTTACTAATGTAGATACAATTCTGTTTCTTATACCTGGATGCAGTATTCTTCTATGCATAACCAGTTATCAAGGGTAGTAATTTCCATTTGAGCTCTACCTGATTTTGAATTGTTTGTAGATATTGCTTGCCTAAGTAAGTGGAAATAACGTAAATGAAAAATGAAAAGTCAGCTCTCTGTTTCTATTGCTGGTTATGTTTAAATTTTGCATAGGTCTTTTTTATACATGAGAAGTAGAAACTGACTTTAAAAGATGAGAGCTCTTAAAATGTCATTCATTATGTGTTTTTAAATGTAGGTTCTGTCATATGTTGAAGAATCCATACACCATTAAGAAACAGCCTCTGCATCAATTTGTACAAAGACCACTTTTCCCACTACCTGCAGCCTTTTGTAACCCAGGTAAAATTTCACCTCTTTTATAGCAATTATGTTTCAGAAACTGTGTTAGGATTTTGTGGATCATAAAGGATGAGAATTTGTACATTTTCTAGTTAGAGGCCTTTAGAAAGAATATTGATAAAAAAGCTATATTTTTCTTATAGGCTTCTAAGTAGAAAATTTATTTGCAAGGACATTGTCCAGTAGATCTATGAAATCTCAGTATCTTGTATAACACATCCCCTGCAACACAGGAGTTGCTCAATAAACGATAATGAAAATATTGTAGAAAGAAGTTAAAATCTGACTGGGTATGGTGGCTCGTGCCTGTAATCCCACTGCTTTGGGGGGCTGAGGCAGATGGATCGCTTGAGCCCAGGAGTTTGAGACCAGCCTAGGCAACACAGTGAAACCCTGTCTCTACAAAAAAATAGCAGGGCATGGTGGTGTCCCAGCTGCTTGGGAGGCTGAGGTGGGATTATCACTTTAGGCCAGGAATTCAAGCTTGCAGTGAGCTGTGATCACACCACTATGCTCCAGCCTGGGTGACATGTGGAATTCTGTCTCAAAAAGAAGTTTCAAATGAGGGTTGTGTTTCAAATAATTCTATGTATTTCAAGCTACTGCTTTCTTTTTTTTTTGATAAGAATACCCCTAAAATTAGTAAATTTCTGGCCTTTATCCAGACCTTAGAACACAGGATTTTGATGTAAAAAAGTACATACAAAATAAAGAAAAACTTTTTTGCTAAAATTAATTACTATGGTTTTGTTAATAATCTTGATTGCTAACAAGATATATACTTTGATTTTTTTTTAATATGGGAAATAGATAGAAGGAAAGGATTTGAAAATAATTTGAAGTCTGATGACTATAATGTGGAGTTAAGGAAGCTTAAGGGGAGAGGATGTGTGTGTCTACATATATGTATGTATGTATGTAAATGTATACCTATATGTGTTATGGAGCTGTAAGCATATAAATTCAGCCTCTCCTTTCCATCACTAGCTTGAACACATGCCTGTGGCCATACTCTGGAAGGTGGCTGATTCTGGCTAAGAGCATGAGTTAAATCAGGGTAGACCTTACCCTTTCTGTAGCCAGGGGCCAGAAGAGGAACACTTTCCTGCAGGCTTGCCTGACTTCCTGAATCACAGAAGAGTTTAGATGTAAATATTGTAAATACTGAGTAACTCAGCCCCTTAAACCACTTTAATTGGACTTTTAAACTTCGTAAGACTGAAATACGTGGTCATATAGGCTTTTCAAATTGGAAACCCATTAATTTTAGTCATTGATATTGACTTTAAGCACACTAATCTGTATTTTGGGGGAGTTTACATCTACCTACTTAGGTACCTATTAGTACCAAGCATAATAGGAAGAAATAGACTGAGTGTGGTGGCTCATGCCTATAATCCCAACATGTTGAGAGGCTGAGGCGGGCAGATCCCTTGAGCCCAAGAATTTGAGACCAGCCTCAGCAACATGGTGAAACCCTGTCTCTACAAAAAAAATTTGAAAATTACCTGGGCATGGTGGTGCGTGCCTATAGTCCCAGCTACTCAGGAGGCTGATATGGGAAAATCACTTGAGCCTGGGAGGTCGAGACTGCAGTGAGCTGTAATCATGCCACTGCACTTCAGCCTGGGCAGCAGAGTGAGACACTCTCTCAAAAAAAAAAAAAAAAAAAAGAAGAAATATTTTTTATCATTCTATCCTGTTGTAACTCTCATGACATTTTCATGAGCATGTTTCTGGGAGTCATTTTTGAAATACCAAATTAAACCCAATTGAGACTATAATTGGAATGATTTTATTAAATACCTATTCAAATTTGATTTTTTTTTTTAATTTTAAGCAGGATCTCACTACGTTGCCCAGGCTGAAGTGCAGTGGTGTGATCTCGGCTCACTGTAACCTCTGCCTCCCAGGCTCCAGCCATCCCCCCACCTCAGCCTCCACAGTAGCTGGAACTACAGGTGTGTACCACCACACCCAGCTAATTTTTGTATTTTTTTGTAGAGATGAGGTTTTACTACATTACCTAGGCTGGTCTCCAACTCCAGAGCTCAAGTAACCTGCCTGGTTCAGCCATTGAAAGTGCTGGGATTACAGGCATGAGCCACCGTGCCCAGCCTCAAATTAGTTTTTTAGTAATAGCTTTATTTATTGTCAAAAGAAATAAGTTCTGTGGTGATGTCATTCATTTTCATACTTTCTACTTTAGACAGTATAGAGTATATGCTCTTCACTTTTTCTTTTCTTTTTTTGCATTTGTAGTTTTTACCCTCAAGTATTTCTAAAAGTTTTTCTTTCTGCAGGTATAGTTTTTCTCAAATTGATTGAGTAGAATAAAGCCAGATTTTTTTTTTTTTTTTGTCTTGGCTCACTGCATCCTCTACTTCCTGGGCTCAAGCAATCCTCTTGCCTCATCCTCCCACATAGCTGGGATTATAGACACGTGCCACTGCAACTGACCAATTTTTGTATTTTTCTGTAGAGACAGGATCTTTGTTTCCCAGACTGGTCTCGAACTTTTGACCTCAAGTGATCCTTCTGCCTTGGCCTCCCAAAGTGCTGGGATTATAGATGTGAGCTGATGTACCCAGCCAAAGCCAGATTTAATTCTTCAAATACTGGTAGAGTACTGTGTGCAGATTTTGGTTAGCAATAAATTATTAATACAAGCTGCAATAAATGATTGGTTCAGAACCAGAGTTAGATTATTCACGGAAAGGGTTGGCAGCCCTGTCTTTAATGTGTCATTGAAAAATCATTCCCTTGTAACACAGATTTTCAGAAGAATATTTTGCTGGAAATATACATATTTTAAAGGAAGCACTTGGACATTGAGGTTATTTTTTCATTTTTTAGGATTTGCCTGGTGTCTGATTAGGACAATGACTTAAGCAATATGTATGGGAGTTTACTTTCAATTTTTTCTTTATCTACGAAATGGTTTTATATCAGCTAGCTGGAATTGCATGGCAAAGTGCAAAAATGACTCTCAGTTGTCAAATTAGAACCTTTTCCCTAATGGCTAAGAAAAGCATTTTTGTACCAACCATATGTTTTGCCAAATTTAATCTCTTTCAAATTTAAAATAAAACTGTTGCTTTTTGATATTCTCTCTCCTAAAATAGGCAATATGAAAATTAGAACAGAAAGACTGATTTTAAATGTGTTTTCCTATTTCGCTTGGCAGTGTCAGATAAGGATTAGCAATATGTACAGTGGCTAAAAGAGTCAGTACCTAGAAAATTGTCCAGCTTTGAATCCTGGCTCTGTCACTTAGTAGCTTAGTGACCTTTAGTTTTCTTATTATAAAATAAGATAAAAACAGTATCTTGTTGAGAGGATGTAAGGATTAAATGATCTAATACATGTAAAGTGCTTAGCACCCAGCCCAGCACGTGATAGGCACTGAGTAATTTTTTTTTTTTTTTTTTTTGGGACGGAGTCTCGCTCTGTTGCTCAGGCTGGAGTGTGTGGTGGCTTGATCTCAGCTCACTGCAAACTCTGTCTCCTTGGTTCAAGCAATTCTCCTGCCTCAGTCTCCTGGGTAGCTGGGATTACAGGTGCATATTACCATGCCTGGCTAATTTTTGTATTTTTACTGGAGACAGGGTTTCACCATGTTGACCAAGCTCCTGACCTCCGGTGATCCGCCTGCCTTGGCCTCCCAAAGTGCTGGAATTACAGGAATGAGCCACTGTGCCTGGCTAGGCACTGAATAAATTTTAACTGTATATCCTATGGTCAATTTATTTAAATATACTCCTGTAAGATGGAGGATTTCTTCTTACTCAGAAGGCTCATTTTCTTTTTTTTGAGATGGAGTCTTGCTCTGGGTCACCCAGGCTGAAATGCAATGATGTGATCTGGGGCGATTCTCCTGCCTTAGCCTCCTGAGTAGCTGGGATTACGGGTGCCTGCCACCATGCCCAACTAATGTTTGTATATTTAGTAGAGACGGGGTTTTATCACGTGGGTCAGGCTGGTCTTGAACGTCTGATCTCAGGTGATCCCTGCCTGCCTTGGCCTCCCAAATTGCTGGGATTACCGAGTGAGCCACATTTTTTTTTTTTTTAACTGAATCTCACTTGTTTGCCCAGGGTGGAGTGTAGTGGCACACTCTTGGCTCACTGCAACCTCTGTCTCCTGGGTTCAAGTGATTCCCCTGCCTCAGCTGCCTGAGTAGCTGGGACTACAGACGCATGCCACCACAACCAGCTAATCTTTGTATTTTTAGCAGGGACAGGGTTTCACCATGTTAGCCAGGCTGGTCTCAAACTCCTGACCTCGTGATCCACCTACCTCAGCCTCCCAAAGTGCTGGAATTACAGGTGTGAGCCACCATGCCTGGCCTTCTTTTTTTTTTTTTTTTGAGACAGAGTTTCGCTGTTTTTGCCCAGGCTGGAGTGCAATGCTGCGATCTCAGTTAACTGAAACCTCCTCCTCCCAGGTTCAAGTGACTCTTCTGCCTCAGCCTCCCAAGTAGCTGGGATTACAGACACCTGCCACCATGCTCAGTTAATTTTGTATTTTTAGTAGAGACGGGGTTTCATCATGTTGGCCAGGCTGGTTTCGAACTCCTGATCTCAGGTGATCCACTAGCCTCAGCCTCTCAAAGTGCTGGGCTTACAGGTGTGATCCACCATGCACCTGACAGAAGATTCCTTTTCTTTTCTTTTTTTTTTTTGAGACAGAATCTCTATTGCCCATGCTGTAATGCAATGATGAGATCTCCGCTCACTGCAACTTCCACCTCCCAAGTTCATTCAGTTCTCCTACCTCAGCCTCCTGGGTAGCTGGGATTACAGGCACGTGCCACCACTACCAGCTAACTTTTGTATTTTTTTAGTAGAGAGGGGGTTTCACTATGTTGGCCAGACTGGTCTCGAACTCCTGACCTCAGCTGATCCACCTGCTTGGCCTCCCAAAGTGTTGTGATTACTGGTGTAAGCCACTGCCCCTGGCCAGAAGGTTCATTTTCCATAATGAATAATCAGGTCTGTTTAATAGTTTTAAAACTATTAAAACACCAATGCTGTATTTTTGTCCTGCAAGCCGTTGTTATAATAGCAAAATAGGAAATTAAAGATTCTGTTATATCTTTATTGCTTTAGTGAATTCATTCTCAATCTAAACATGGTCCTAGAAAAAACATAAGAAAAGAGTTGGCCAGGTGCAGTGGCTCATGACTGTAATCCCAGCACTTTGGGAGGCCAAGGTGGGTGGATCACCTGAGGTCAAGCGATTGAGACCAGCCTGGCCAACTTGGTGAAACCCCATCTCTACTAAAAATACAAAACATAGCCAGGCGTGGTGGCGCGTGCCTGTAGTCCCAGCTACTCCGGAGGCTAAAGCAGGAAAATCACTTGAACCTGGGAAGTGGAGGTTGCAGTGAGCTGAGATAGTGCCACTGCACTCCAGCCTGGTGACAAAGACTCTGTCAAAAACAAACAAACAAACAAGCACTAGCTGGTTATGGTGGCACATGCCTGTAATCTCAGGTACTCAGGAGGCTGAGATGGGAAAATTGCTTGAACTCGGAAGGTGCACATTACAATGAGCTGAGATCATGCCACTGCACTCCAGCCTGAGCAACAGAGCAAGACTTGTCTCAAAAAAAGAAGAGTCTCTAATGATATCTTTTAGGACAGGTGCAGTGCCTCATGCTTTTAATCCCAGCACTTTGGGAGACCAAAGGAGGCGGATCGCTTGAGGCCAGGAGTTTGAGACCAGCCTGGCCAACATTGCAAAACCCAGTCTTCTACAGAAAATACAAAAATTAGCTGGGTGTGGTGGTGCACACCTGTAGTTCCAGCCACTCGGGAGGCTGAGGCATGAGAATGGCTTGAACCCAGAAGGCGGAGGTTGTAGTAAGCTGAGGCAGTGCCACTGCTCTTTAGCTTGGGCAACAGTGTGAGACCTTATCTCATAAAAAAAAAAAAAAAAAGGTATCTTTTAAATATTCCAGGAAGTAAATTGCATAGATTTATGCTTATATTTTGTTATGTTACTTACTGTATCATTAGGCAACTTAATTAATATCTCTTAGCCTTAGTGTCTTCATTTGTAAAATGGCAATAAGAATTTCCTCTTTATAGGGTTGTTAAACGTATACATACATTTAAAGCACTTGCGCCAGGCCACGATGGCGCCTGCCTATAATCCCAACACTTTGGGAGGCTGAAGTAGGTAGATCACTCAAGGCCAGGAGTTTGAGACCAGCCTGGGCAACATGGTGAAACTCAGTTAAAAAAAAATTAGGCTAAGCATGGTGGCTCACACCTGTAATCCCAGCACTTCGGGAGGCTGAGGTGGGTGGATCACCTGAGGTGAGGAGTTGGAGATCAGCTGGGCTAACATGGGGAAACCTCATCTCTATTAAAAATACAAAAATTAGCCAGATGTGGTGGTGCATGCCTATAATCCATGCCACTCTAGAGGCCGAGGCAGGAAAATCTCTTGAACCTGAGAGGCTGAGGTTGCAGTGAGCCAAGATAGCACAACTTTACTCCAGCCTGGGCAAAGAGCAAAACTCTGTCCCAAAAAAAAAAAAAAAAAAAAAAAATTAACTAATTAAAAATAAATAAAGCACTTGGCCCCAGAGCTGGATATGGTGGCTTATACCTGTAATCCCAGCACTTTACTTTGGGGGGCCAAGGTGGGATGATCACGTGCGGCCAGGAGTTTGAGACTAGCCTGAGCAACATTGGGAGACTCCACCTCTACAAAATTTTTTTTTTTAAAAAGCCTTTGGCCCTGTATTTGGCATATAATAAGCACACAATAAATATTTATTATTACTATTATTATAAACTGCTAACTTTATTGTCTTTAAAACAATGATGGCACTTTGGAAAGAGAATGTAACATTTTACTGTATTAATATCATAGCAATAAGTGATCTATGATTATGATAGCCATTGGTATGAAGCCACCACATAGAATATATATAGGACTCCTGAATTATGAATATATATAAGAGTTAAGTGTAGACTATTTCTGGAATCTGTTTCATAACACAACTATTTAAATAATCAGAGTATTGGCTGGGCACAGTGCTCACATTCTAATCTCAGCACTTTGAAAGTGTGAGGTGGGAGGATCATTTGAGACCAGCCTGGGCAACATAGTGAGACTCTGTCTCTACAAAACAAACAAACAAACAAACACAAAAATTAGCTAGGCATGATTTAAGCTGAATAAATAGCTGGGACTTCGGGTGTGCACCATCACACCTGAAGTCCCAGCTATTTATTCAGCTTATATGGGAGGATTGCTTGAGCCCAGGAATTTGAGGTTGTGGTAAACTGTGATTGTGCCACTGTACTCCAGCCTGGGTAACAGAGCAAGACCTTGTCTAAAACAACAACAACAAAAAAACCCAGAGTATTAATAGACAACTGTATGCACTTAAATATAGTGATATATGTCTTTGTTATCTTTATAAATGCTTTGTCAGGACAATAAAGTCCTGGGTTTTCCCCCAGTTTTTCTCATTTCTTCTGGTTCTCTGCAAATGAGCACTTCATACTCCATAAACTTGTTAACTATTTTTTCTAGAATAACATTTTCTTCTTTTTCTTTTTTAGTAAGATACATGTTTATTCAAACACAAGATACCCCAAATCCCAACAGCTTAAAGTTTATACCAGGAAAACCAGTTCTTGAGACAAGGACCATGGATTTTCCCACCCCAGCTGCAGCATTTCGCTCCCCTCTGGCTAGGTATATTACTGTTTTCATTTGCTTTTACCAAGAAACATAAATAACTGACATTGGGGTTAAGACAACCTTATTTAACTGTTGCCTTTCTATGTGTACTGTATTTTCTTTAAGTGTAGAGAATAATTTTTTTCTTTTCAGATAAGAGATTTTTTAAAAATGCCTGTTGCAGCTGCTCACGCCTGTAATCCTAACACTTTGAGAGGCCAAAATGGGAGGATTGCGTGAGTCCAGGAGTTTGAGACCAGCCTGCACAACATAGAGAGACCCAATCTCTACCAAACACACCACACACACATCACACATACACACCCTCATACACCCGTCTCTATCACACATGCGCGCGCACGCGCACACACACACACACACACACACACACAAATTTAGCTGGGTGTGGTGGTGTGCACCTCTGGTCTTAGCTACTCAGGAGGCTGAGATGGGAGAATCGCTTGAGCCTGGGAGGTCGAGGCTGCAGTGAGCCATGATAGTGCCACTGTGCTCCAGCCTGGGCAACAGAGTGACACCCTGTCTCAGAAAACCCCAAAAATGTTGAGGAGGCTGAGGATCACTTGAGTTCACGGGTTTGAGACCAGCCTGGGCAACATGGTGTAACCCTGTATACAAAAAATACAAAAATTAGCTGAGTGTGGTGGTATGTGTCTGTAGTCCTAGCTACTAAGGAGGCTGAGGTGAGATCACTAAGCCCAGTAGGTTGAGGAAACAATGAGCTGTGATGCCATGATTGTGCCAGAGCATTCCAGCCTGAGCAACAGAGTGAGACCCTGTCGCAAAAAAGGAAAAGAAAAATGAGAGTTGATATTCAAAAATCTTTTTCCTGAAAAGTGATATATTTGAGAGATCTATCGCATGAATAAATAAAAACATATTTTTACTTAAGAAAAAATGTTCATCAAATTGATAAATGTGGTAAATTTCCATTTCAGATCTTTAAAAATCTGATTTTTAAGAATAATGAGAACTTGCTTATTTTATTCATAAGGGTAGCTGAATTTGTAGATGTTTCAAGATGGAGTAATTTATAAAATACTCTATCAGAACTGTGAATGAAAATGAGTCAATGGAGACAGTTTTAAAATTTACCAGATAAAGGCATGTTTAAACCAGTAGTTTCCCCCCTTATCTGTGGTTTCACTTTCCCTGGTTTTAGTTACCCAAGATCAGCCATAGTCTAAAAATATTAAATGGAGAATTTCAGAAATAAACAATTCATCTGTTTTAAATTATGCTGCCTTTCTGAGTAGCATGGTGAAATCTTTCGCTATCCTCCCAAAAGCATAAATTAGCCCTTTTCCAGTATATCCATGCCTTATACACTATCCGTCTGCCTGTGTCCTCCCCTCTGCTGATCCCTCCTTCTCTCCTGCCCTGCCTCCGCAGCACCATTAGTCACTTAGTAGCCATCTCTTGCAGTAAAGTAGCTGGCATATTGTTATAATTGTTCTATTTTTTTTATCAGTTATTAATCTCTTTTTGTGCCTAATTTATAAATTAAACTTTATCGTAGGTATATATGTATAGGCAAGAAACAGTACTTGCAGGGTTCAATGCTGTGTATGGTTTTAGGGATCCACTGGGGGCCTTGGAACATATCCCTGAGGATAAGGGGGGCTACTGTATGTTAGAGATGATAAAGCACAAATGATAAAACTGTTGGAATTAACCACTTTTTAACTGATAGAGAAGTTAATAATAAGGAATATTAGAGTCATTCAGCATCAGTTGAAATTTTTGGGAACTGAAGCCTCAATCCGATTGCCAGGAATACTCAGAAAACAGAGCTTAGGTAACTACTTCTGTACATATAGCCATTTTATGTCTCATTTAAGGAACCTAGGGATTTGCTAAGCTCTGGAATAGTTTTTAAAATTTATAATTAGTAAGTACTTTTTTTTTTACTTAAATATATCAGTTTTCATAATATACCTTAGAGTATTTATTTTTCATATTTTATTTTTTACTTTTTATTTATTTTTTGAGGCAAGGTTACACTCCTGTCACCCAGGCTGGAGTGTGATGGCATGATCTTGACTCCCTGCAACCTCCGTCTCCTGGGTTCAAGCTATTCTCCTGCCTCAGCCTCCCAAGTAGTTGGGACTATAAGCATATGCCTCCTCACCTGGCTAAATTTGGTATTTTTTGTAGAGACTAGGTCTCATCATGTTGCCCAGGCTAGTGGTCTTAGACTCCTGAGCTCAAGTAATCTGTCCTTCTCACCCTCCAAAGTGCTGGAATTACAGGCCGTTTTTCATACTTTTTTGATACAAGCCACAGTAAAAAATATTTTACATTATGTGTGTATATGTGTGAGATACAAATGTTTGATGGGATAATTTTCACTTGTTTTTTCACCCATACAATGGGTAATAGATTCTTACATTTCCTTTCTTCATCTCTTTTTGTTGCTCTGTTTTATTTTATTAAATAAAACCCTGTCACTACATATTTGATTCCACAACTCACTACTGGGTTTGAAAAACCCTACCCTAGAAGTTACTTGCACATGTGCCCAAGCTGTGTGAGGGATGTATTTACTGTCATAGAAGGACATCTGAGACATACAAGTGAAGAAAGCAACTTGCAGAACAGTGAGTCAAATAAAATATTATGTATATAAATACAAAAACCACAGAACAACAAATGCACTGACAAAAAGATCTGGAAGAATACGTACGAAACTAATAACAGAATTTGGGTATGGGTGGTCAAGGAGCATTTAAACTTTGTTATTTGAAACATTTACATCAAGAATGAGTTCATATTTTATATTAAAAAATATAAAAGTAAAACCCCATTTCAGCTATAGATTAGTTAAATATTATTTCTGTCCGATGTTCGGTTGGCAAAGTCTCTTTTCACATTAGTCTTTTGGACATAGCCTATTAAGGCCGGTCGTGGTAGCTTATATCTGTAATCCCAGTACTTTGGGATGCCAAGGTGGGTGGATCACCTGAGATCAGGCATTCAAGACCAGCCTGGCCAACATGGTGAAACCCCATCTCTATTAAAAATATAAAAATTAGCTGGGCATGGTGGCATATACCTGTAATCCCAGCTACTTGGGAGGCTGAGTTAGGAGAATGGCTTGAACCCAGCAGGCGGAGGTTGCAGTGAGCCGAGATCATGCCACTGCCTTCCAGCCTGGGTGACAGAGGGAGACTCTGTCTCAAAAAGAAAAAAAGAAAGAAAATAGTCTGTTTAGTGCTTAGTACAGTGCCTGGCACTTAGTTGGTGTCAAATTATTTGTTGAATGAATGATTGATTGTATGGATATAGCAGTCTATTCATTCACCAGGTAGTGGACATGTCCATATTTTTGTGTATGTGTGGCTATTTTATTTATTTTTTATTTTTCCTTAGTTCACATTTTTTAATAACATGGCACAGTTTACATTACACAAGAAGGTTCTGCCGATGAGAACATACTGAAGTTTCAGTTGCTTCACTTTTCTTTGTGGCTATTTTAAATGAAGCTGCTATAAAGATTTATGTACAAGTCTTGGTGGAGCATGTGTTTTAATTTCTTTTGGGTATATACCTAGGAGTGGGATTGCTACATCATAGAGTAGGAATATGAAACAAAATTGGCCAAGAGTTGATCATTGCTGAAGCTGCAAAGGATATGTGGAGAGTTTTTCACTTTTCTGTACTTTTGTTTATGTTTAAACTTTTCCATATTCAAGCATTTTATTATCTCTTATTTTTTCTTTATTTGCAGGCAGTTATTTAGGATTGAAGGAGTAAAAAGTGTCTTCTTTGGACCAGATTTCATCACTGTCACAAAGGTAAACATAGGATTATATAAAATAAGACTTGAAATAATTTTTGTTTTTTTCTGAGTCCAGTGCCTCTCTCCAACATTTCCATTCTTTCTGTTCTTTAATTTTTATTTTTTATTTTTGAGACAGAGTCTTACTGACTTGCTGCCTGAACGTCACAAAATCAAGCGAAATATGCTGTTTTTCAACAGTCAAGGCAGTATCTGCTAGAAATGGCTGTTCATTTTTGATGTCTCAAGATTAATGGGACATGAACTATTTAAATTTGAACTGTGTGTCTTTTTAAAACTGTTAATTGACATATATCCACTGAAGTTAAATCACTTGCCTGATAATGTGTGAAAATCAAAAGTATTCATTAAACTCCCCTTAAGCAATTTGAAAGCATTAGTCTGAGTTCTTCATGTCCTTAAAAGTGGACTTACTGCTCAAACCTGTAATCCCAGCACTTTGGGAGGCCGAGGCGGGTGGATCATGAGGTCAAGAGATCGAGACCATCCTGGTCAACATGGTGAAACCCCGTCTCTACTAAAAATACAAAAAATTACAAAAAATTAGCTGGGCATGGTGGTGCATGCCTTTAATCCCAGCTACTCAGGAGGCTGAGGCAGGAGAATTGCCTGAACCCAGGAGGCGGAGGTTGCGGTGAGCCAAGATCGCGCCATTGCACTCCAGCCTGGGTAACATGAGTGAAATTCCGTCTCAAAAAAAAAAAAAAAAAAAAAAAAAAAAAAAGTGGACTTACTGGGTTAGTGACATGTTAAATCTAGTCCAGTATTCTCTTGTAGTTATTTATTTACTTAGAGACAAAGTCTCGGTCTGTCGCCCAGGTCAGACTGCAGTGGCACGATCTCAGCTCACTGCAGCCTCAGCCTCCTGGGCTCAAGCAGTCCTCCCACCTTAGCCTCTCTAGTAGCTGGGACTATATGTGCATACCACCACATTCAGCTAATTTTTGTATTTTTTGTAGAGACGAGGTTTTACCATGTTGCCAGGCTGGTCTCAAATTCCTGAGGTCAAACAATCTGCTCACCGTGGCCTCCCAGAGTGCTGGGATTACAGGTGTGAACCACTGTGCCCAGCCCCCAATTCCTCAGTTTTCTTTCTTCCATGTTTTTTAAGGGGAAAAAGGACAAGCATTTATTTAATGTATTCAGTGTCAGATAGGGCACTAGTGCTTTACATATATTATCTAATTCTTATAGCTATTCATTTTATAAGTGGGAAATTATATGTTTATTTTTTTAAGTTATTTAGTTTTTTACATATAACCTATGCTATATAAAAATTTTTATAGATTAAAATGTGATTATATCTTAAAGAGTTTTTCTTTTTTCCTTTTCCTTTTTTTTTTGAAGACAGAGTTTCAATTTGCCACCCAGGCTGGAAGTCTGGAGTGCAGTGATGCAATCTTGGATCACTGCAATCTCCACCTCCTCGGTTCAAGCAATTCTCCTGCCTCAGCTTCCTTAGTAGCTGGGATTACAGGCATCTGCCACCATGCCCAGCTAATTTTTTTGTAATTTTTAGTAGAGACGGAGTTTTACCATGTTGGTCAAGCTGGTTTTGAACTCCTGACCTCATGATCCACCCACCTCGGCCTCCCAGAATGCTGGGATTACAGGTATAGCCCCTGGCCTCCTCCTATTTTTCTTGATTAGATTTAGTAAGTCATTTTTTAGCTCTCTTTCTTTTTTTTTTTTTTTTTTTTTTAGTAGAGGCAGGGTTTCGCCATGTTGGTCAGGCTGGTCTCGAACTCCTGACCTCGGGTGATCCACCCGTCTCGGCCTCCCAAAGTGCTGGGATTACAGGTGTGAGCCACTGCACCTGTCAGCTCTCTTACTTTCATTATTTAGTTACCCTATTTGAAATTGCTCTAGCTCTACTGTTTTTTCTTAAGTAAAATGACATAACTAATAGATAATATTCCAAGTTAGGGTATATGTTGATGTGTGTGTGTGTGTGTGTGTGTGTGTGTGTGTGTGTGTGTGTGTGTGTGTGTTGATGTGTGTGTGTGTGTGTGTGTGTGTGTGTATCTATCCATCCATCCATCTATCCATCCATCCATAGATGTAGATGGGATCTTGCTCTGTTTCCCAGGTTGGAAGGCAGTGGTTCGATCATGGGTCAGTGCAACCACTAACTCTCAGGCTCAAGCAATCCTCCTGTCTCAGCTTCCCAAGTAGCTGGGACTACAGGTGCTTGCCACCATGGCCAGCTAATTTTTTTTCTTTTTTCTTTTTTCCTTTTTTTTTTTGTAGAGACACAGGATCTTTCTATGTTGCCCAGGCTGGTCTCAAACTCCTGGGCTCATACAATCCTCCTGGCTTGGCCTCCCAAAATTTGGGATTACAGGTGTGAGCCACCATGCCTGGCCCATGTTGGTATCTAATAGATGGAATAAGAATTTTGATTTGTTTTCTTTCAGTAAGCTTTCTCATCATAGACTGTCACATTTTACTCAATGTCTTCAGCAATCACCTGTTTCTATTTCTGATTTCCAGTTGGTAATTAGACTTCTTTATGCATCATTTGTGTTGCTTTTTCTAAATGTATATATATATTTGCAGCTTATATGCTTCCTTTTTTCTCATTCAGGCAACTTGAGAATATTTTTCTTTTTATTACCAATATTTTCCTATTTAGTAAGCCTGCTATTTACTGAAGATCTGAGGTAGCACTCTTATTTATTTTCCAAATAATTTATTAGCTGGAACTAGTTTTGGTTCCCAATCACTAAGATATTTCACTAGTTTTCCTTTACTTTTATAACATTAGCAGTCCCCATTTATCTCACCTCTTATGTACTATCTCTAAATTCGTTTGTTCTTTGTTTTTTTTTTTTTTGAGACAATGTCTCACTCTGCTGTCCAGCCTGGAGGGCAGTGGAACCATCTCAGCTCCCTGCGACCCCAGCCTCCTGGGTTCAAGTGATTCTCCTGCCTCAGCCTTCTGAGTAGGTGGAATTACAGGCATGTGCCACCACACCGAGCAAATTTTTGTATTTTTAGTAGAGACAGGGTTTTACCATGTTGGCCAGGCATGTCTCAAACTCCTGACCTCAAGTGATCCACCCTTCTTGGCCTTCCAAAATACTGGAATTACAAATGTGAGCTACTGCACTCAGCCTCTAAATTGGTTCTTAATCCATGAATTAAAATAGTTTCTTTTATCTATGTTGACTCAATTCTTTTTTTTTTTTTTTTTTTTTTTTTTTTTGAGACAGGATCTTCCTCTTTTGCCCATACTGGATTGCAGTGACATGAACGTGACATACTGCAGCCTCAACCTCCTGGGCTCAAGCAGTCCTTCTCTTCAGCCTCCTAGTAGGCAGGACTATAGGATATTACCATGTCCAGCGAATTTTTTATTTTTTTGTAGAGATAGGGTCTTGTTATGTTGCCCAGCCTGGTCTGAAACTCCCGGGCTCAGGCAGTCCTCCTGCCTTGGCCTTCCAAAGTGCTGGGATTACAGTTGTGAGCCACTATGCCCAGCCTCAATTTTTAATAGTATTTAAGTATAGACTCTAGCTAACAGGATCCTAAGAGTCTAAATAGACTGCATCTAATATTTTTTCCTCCTATAGAACCTCCCTTTGAAAAACTAGAACAGGCTGAGTGCTATGGCTCATGCCTGAAATCCCAGCACTTTGGGAGACTGAGGTAGTAGGATCACTTGAGGCCAGGAATTCGATATCAACCTGCGAAGCATAGTGAGATACCATCTGTATTTAAAAAAATAATAAAAATAAAAATAAAAATGATTATCCAGGCTTGGTGGTACATGCCTGTAGTCTTAGCTACTCAGGAGGCTGGGGTGGGAGGATCATTTTACCCTCAGAGGTCTAGGCTGCAGTGAGCTATTATTGTGCCACTGTATTCCAGCCTGGGTGATAGAACCAGACCCTGTCTCTAAAAAATTTTTTTTTAACTTAAAAAGTTAAAAAATAAAATTAAAAACTGAAAAACTAGAACAAAACGTGTTGCCTTTCTCTTTGTAGATATTAGCACTATTTAGGTATTTAATAATTTCATCTTTTTATTTATGGAAACAACTAGTTGGCCAGGTATACTGGTGAAACAGTTTCGGAATCCTTCTTTAGGAGACCAGTCTTCTTGACAGTCCACAGGTCCTCCAGCAGAATAACATTGATTCTACAGTTATATCATTGAATTTCTTTTTTTTGTTTGTTCATTTCTTTTTTTGGGGGGAGACACAGTTTTGCTCTTCTCACCCAGGCTGGAATGCAGTGGCACGATCTCAGCTCACTGCAACCTCCACCTCCCATGTTCAAGCGATTCTTCCTCAGTCTCCCAAGTAACTGGAATCACAAGCCTGCACCACCACGCCTAGCTAATTTTTGTATTATTAGTAGAGACAGGGTTTCACCATGTTGGCCAGGTTCTTCTCGAACTGCTAACCTCAGATGATCCACCTGCTTTGGCTTCCCAAAGTGCTGGAATTACAGGTGTGAGCCACCATGCCTGGCCGAATTTCTTTCATACCCTTTAAGTAATATAGGTAAGTAAATTTTTTGTACAGTTGTAGGCTGTCCTGTATACTTGATCAAGCAGTTACATCCTATTTTTTTTTAAAGAATGGGAATCTCTTTATCATCCTCTTAACAGACAGAAAATCCATTTAATATTTTGTCTTCACATCACAAAAAAAGTCTTTTAATCATTTAAATCATCCCCTATACATAGTACATACAACACAATGAAAGTTTGATAAGTGAATAAATTAATGAATGAAAGGAGGATGTTTAAGATTTTATCTTCTAAAAGTCATTTAAACAGCACCCTTTAAGATGTGGAGCTAATATGTATTCTTCAGAAATGGTTGCCATTGCATAGGTATAGTATGTATATAGGAAAAGATATTTTTTTCTTTATTTTTTCTTCTTTTCCCTTTCCCTTTTCCCTTCTCCATCACTTTGCCTGCCTGCTTGCCTTCCTTCCTCCTTTCCTTTTTTCTGCTTCTTTTCTCTTTTTTTCTTTCTTCCTTTCCAATTATATATTATTTTTAAAAATATAAAAAGAGATGAAGTCTCACTATGTTGCCAAGGCTAGTCTTGAACTCCTGGACTCGAGCAATCCTCTTGCTTCAGCTTTGGGATTACAGGCATGAGCTATCACACCTGGCCAGGAAAAGATTCTTAAGAGGTATAAGGTAGTGTTCTGTATTGGTCTTTGCCCTTGCCTGAAAATATAGCATTTTCCTTTAAATGTTTATAGGAAAATGAAGAATTAGACTGGAATTTACTGAAACCAGATATTTATGCAACAATTATGGACTTCTTTGCATCTGGCTTACCGCTAGTTACTGAGGAAACACCTTCAGGAGAAGCAGGTAACATGTTGTATTGAGTAATTAATATCTGTCTTTTTTTTTAGACTTTTCTTTTTTCACATTTACCTTTATTTCAGAAGTCATATGAATATAGATGTCTATCATTTAATAGGTTTAGCTCTGGGAATTTATATATCATTTTGAAAACTTGTATATAAATTGGCATTATTATATAAAACCAGAATTTTCAATTATAAAAATTTTCAAACATGCAGAAAATAATATCATGCTTACCAATATGCTCTTCACTCATATTTAACAAATGTTAATTAAGTTACAAAATGGGCTTTTAGGAAAAACAAAACAAATGCTATCTTTTGCCACAGTTGCTTTAGACTAATTTTAAATAAAATATTAAACATACAGTGTTAGATTCTAGAGCATAAATAAAAAAAGAAACAGCTAAAACCGCTACACCCTCATCCCATATCCCTTTCTACTTTCAGAGATATGTGTAAACTTGGTTTGTTTTTATACTTTTATTATACATGTAAGTCTCTGCAGGAAATAGATAGTATTAGTTTTTGTTCTTAAGTTTTAAATATCTTTTTTTTTTTTTTTTTTTTTAAGACAGACTCTCACTCTGTCACCCAGGCTGGAGTGCAGTGATGTGAGGTTGGCACACTGCAACCTCTGCCTCCCAGGTTCAAATGTTTCTCATGCCTCAGCCTCCCAAGTAGCTGAGATTACAGGCGTGCACCACCACACCCAGCTAATTTTTGTATTTTTAGTAGAGGTCAGATTTCATCATGTTTGCCGAGCTGGTTTTGAACTCCTGACCTCAGGTGATCTGCCTACCTAGACCTCTCAAAATGCTGGGATTACAGGCGTGAACCACTGTGCCCAACCTTAAATATCTTGTGTTGTACTGTAGCTTGCTTTTTTTACTAAGTATAATATTTTTAAAATATATCCGTTTCAAAAAATATAGTTCTAGTTTACTCATTTTACATGCTGGATAGTATTTCATTAGAGGAATAAGATATAGTTAATTTGTTCCTTTGTGTTCAAGTGAAGTTTTGTACTAATTTTTATTGTAAACATTGCTGTAGTGGGTATCCTTGTACAAGTTGGTTTGTGAATATGTGGAGAGCTTCTTTATTTGTTTATTTATTTATTTTATTTTTATTTATTTTTGAGACAGACTCACTCTGTTATCCAGGCTGGAGTGCAGTGGCACCATCTCAGCTCACTGGAACCTCTGTCTCCCAGGTTCAAGATTCCCCCTCATCCTCCTGAGTTGCTGGGATTACAGGTGTGCACCACTACGCCCAGCTAACTTTTGTATTTTTAGTAGAGACGGGGTTTTGCCATGTTGGCCAGGCTGGTCTCGAACTCCTGACCTCAAGTGATCCACCCCCCGCTTGGCCTTCCAAAGTTTTGGAATTACAGGTGCAGGCGTGAGCCATTGTGCCTGGCCAAGAGCTTCTTTAGACAATGTTCCTAGATGTGGAATTGCTATATCATAAGTTGATCTAATTAAATGTACATTAGCAGTATATTGTAAGAATTTCAACTTTCTTACATGTTTGTCATCATTTAGTGTCTCTTATTATTTTTTTCAACCCAGTATGTTGGGTATAAAATGGTATCTTTTTTTTTTTTTTTGAGATGGAGTTTTGCTCTTGTCCCAGGCTGGAGGGTAATGGTGAGATCTTGGCTCACCGCAACCTCTGTCTCCCGGGTTCAAGCCATTCTCCTGCCTCAGCCTCTCAAGTAGCTGGGATTACAGGTGCCCGCCAATACACCCAGCTAAGTTTTGTATTTTCAGTAGAGATGGGGTTTCACCGTGTTGACCAGGCTGGTCTCAAACTCCTGACCTCATGATCCACCAGCCTTGGCCTCCCAAAGTGTTGGGATTATAAGCGTGAGCCACCATGCCTGGCTGGTATCTTGTTTTAATTGCATTTCCTTGATTAATAGTGAGTGTGAAGAGTTTCATATGTTTATTGGCCATTTACTTTTCTTGTCAGTAAATTTTCTATTTATATCTTTTCCACTTAAAAAAACAATTCAGTCATGTGTCTTTTTTTTTTTTTTTTTTTTGAGACAGTGACCTGCTCTATCACCCAAGCTGGAGTGCAGTGGCATGATCATTGTTCACTACAGCCTCTGCTTCCCAGGCTAAAGCAATCCTCCTGCCTCTATCTTCCAAGTAGCTGGGACTATAGGTACCTGCCACCATGACTGGTTAATGTCTTTTTTTTTTAAAGTTTTTTGTAGAAGCCAGGCATGATGGCTCACGCCTGTCATCCCAGCACTTTGGAAAGTCAAGGCAGGGTGAGGAGTCATGAGATCAAGAGATTGAGACCATCCTGGCCAACATGATAAAACCCTGTCTCTACTAAAAATACAAAAATTAGTTGGGCATTGTAGTACATGCCTGTAGTCCCAGCTGCTCGGGAGGCTGAGGCAGGAAAATCGCTTGAACCCAGGAGGCGGAGGTTGCAGTAAACCCAGACCAGATTGTGCCACTGCACTCCAACCTGGTAACAGAGTGAGGCGCTGTCTCAAAAAAAAAAAATTTTTTTTTTTGTAGAGATGAGATCTTGTTATGTTGCCCAGGCTGGTCTCAAATTCCTGGCCTCAAGTGATCCTCCTGCCTCAGCCTCTCAAAGTATTGAGATTATAAGCATGAAGCACCACCACCTGGCCCATATATTTATTTAAGCATGTTTTAAAAAAATATTCTGGGCTGGACACCATGCTCCACACCTGTGATCCCAGCACTTAGGGAGGTCAAGGCGGCAGATTGTGTGAGCTCAGAAATTTGAGACTAGCCTGGGCAATATGGCAAAACCCTGTCTCTATAAACAAATACAAAAATTAGCTGGGCATGGTGATGTGTGCCCGTAGTCCCACCTACTTGACAATCTGAGGTGGGAGGATTGCTTGAGCCCACGAGGTTGAGGCTGCAGTGTGCCATGTTCACGCCACTACACTCCATCTCGGGTGATAGAACTAGACCACGTCTCTTAAAAAAAAAAAAAATCTCATTTTCTCTGTATACATATAAACTGAATATTAATTCTTCCTTAGGTATATTCTTAGCAAATGATAACTCCCTAACTGTGACTAAACTTTTTACTTTGTTTATGATGTCTTTTGTCGTACAGAAGATTTCCATTTTAATGTAGTCACTTTTGTTCATCTTTTTCCTTTGTGGCTTGTGCCTTTTGTACCTTGTTTTAGTAAGTTATTTAGTGTGAAACCCTTGGAAAAGTAACTATACATGAAGTTCAATAAGTATTTGCTGATACCGCTATATTTGTTGTTGATGAAATTTTTCCTTTCTTTAGTATCACGAAGGTATTGTCATGTGTATATGTGTATATGTATTTTTGTTTAAGTTTTATTTTTTACACTTACATATTTAATCACTGTGGGATTTGTTTTTCTATATAAAGTATAACAATTTTATCTTTGTCTACGTAGGTAATCAATTATCCCAGTCTGTTCTTTCCTCATTAATTTATAATGTTATACATGGGTCTTTTTCTAAGATGGTTTTTGTTCGTGTGGTCTTTTTGCTCCCCTTCCTATTTCAGTAACATATATGATTTTAATTACAGTAGCTCTGTAACAATTAGTATAGTATATGATCATATCTGGAAGAAACAGTTCCTCAAAAAAACTTTCTGGTGGTCTGATCGCTTTATTCTTCTTTGTAAATTTAATGATTATCTTGTAAAGTCTCCGAAAAACCCTTTCAAGAGTTTGGTTGAAATTGCATTAAATTTATAGATTAAATTTGGGAGAATTAACATTTCTTCAACATTCAAAATTTTCCCATTTACTTGAGACTTCTCATGTTATTTTCTTGATATGAGCTCATGTTAGTTCTAGGTACCATACAGGTTTTGCTGTCATAAATGGTTCTTATTTTGTTAGTAAGCACTTATTGCTGTATTTCAAGCACAATTCTAAGCACTTTACAAGTATAAACTCTCTTAATTCTTAAAATAACCTTATAAGATAGGAACCGTTACCACATTTCATACATGAGAAAGCTCAGGCACTGAAAGGTTGAGTGATTTGTTGAAGGTCACACAGGTAGTAAGTGGCAGAGATAGCTACGAACTTTGGGAAGTCTGGCTCCAGCGTTCATGCTCTTAACCACTACACCGTGTTGCCTGTATTTGTTTTTTCGGGGTTTTTTTGACAGAGTCTTGCATTGTTGTCCAGGCTAGAGTGTGATGGCGCAATCTCGGCTCACTGCAACCTCTGCCTCCCGGGTTTAAGCAATGCTCCTGCCTCAGCCTCTTGAGCAGCTGATTTTTGTATTTTTAGTGGAGATGTGGTTTTTGCCATGTTGGCCAGGCTGCTCTCGAACTTCTGACCTCAGGTGATCTGCCCGCCTTGGCCTGCCAAAGTGCTGAGATTACAGATGTGAGCCACCTCACTTGGCCCTGTATCTGTTTTAAAATAATGTTTTCTAATTTGGGGCGTTGGGTATAGGAATACTGTTGATTTCTGTATATTGATCTTATATGTGTCAGGGTTAATGCTCATTAGTTCTAATAGTTGATCAATGTTAATAAGCATTGACCACAAAAACTGAATGTTTATATATGCATACATATACATATATACTGCTGTAGTTTGGATGTTTGTCCCCTACAAATCTCATGTTGAAATTTGATCCCAGTATTGGAGGTGGAGCCTAATGGGAGGTGAGTGGGTCATGAATGCCCTCTGGAAGAGCTGGGAGTGTGAGGGGATGTGAGTAAGTTCTTACTCTATTAGTTCTTTTGAGAGCTGAGTGCTAAGAAGAGCCCCAGTAACCCATCTCCTTCCTGTCTCACCGTGTGATCTCTGCATGGGCCAGCTCCCCTTCTCCTTCTTCCATGAGGTGAAGCAGCTTGAGGCCCTCACCAGATGCCAAGTCAACTTTTCTAGACATCAGAATCAACCAAATTTTTTTTTCTTTATAAATTACCCAGACTCAGTCATTCCTTTGTAGCAACACTAAATAGACTATGACATACAGAAACATTTGTATAATTGTCTTTAGATGATACAGGTATACTTTTAGATATAGAATAAGAGTCTTAGACATGGGCACAAGGCAACAGGTATAAACATGTTCACTGAAAATTTTTTTTTTTTAAGATGGAGTCTTGCTCCCATTGTACAGGCTGGAATGCAGTGGCATGATCAGCTCCCTGCAACCTCTACCTCCCAGGTTCAAGAGATTCTCCTTCCTCAGCCTCCTGAGTAGCTAGGATTACAGGCCTATGCCACCATGCCCGGCTAAATTTTGTATTTTTTGTAGAGATGGGATTTTGCCATGTTGGCCAGGCTGGTCTCGAACTCCTGACCTCAGGTGATCCACCTGCCTCAGCCTCCCAAAAGGCTGGGATTATAGGCATGAGCCACCGTGCCTGGCCCACTGAAATATTTTTTAACTATACTGGCAGTTAAAAGGAATGAACTAGATTGGGAGATACCAACATGGACACATAAAAATGAAAATATTAAGTGAAAAAGGAAAATTCAAATGTGTGTACATTTATAAATGTATCATTTATGAAAATTTTTAGTACTACATGCTTGATTGATCTATATGTAAACCTTATGACTTTCTTAGAGTAATTTGACTATATCTACTAACATTAAAAATGCACAAGCTGGCCAGGCATAGTGGCTTATGCCTGTAATCCCAGTAATTTGGGAGGCTGAGGCTGGTGGATCACCTGACGTCAGGAGTTCGAGACCAGCCTGACCAATATGGCAAAACTACATCTCTGCTAAAAATACAAAAACTTAGCCATGTGTGATGGCAGATGCCTATAATCCTAACTACATAGGTGGCTGAGGTAGGAGAATTGCTTGAATTCAAGAGGCAGAGGTTACAGTGAGACAAGGTTACGCCATTGCAATCCAGCCTGGGCAAAAAAAGCAAACCTCTGTCTCAAAAAAAAAAAAAAAAAAAGAAGCACAAGCCTGTTTACTCAGATATCCCACCAGTAGGTATTTATCTCATAAATATAATTGCAAAAGTACATTGATGTGTGTGTGTGTGCGTGTGTGTGTGTGTGTATAAATAATTTTTTTTGAGACTGTGTGTGTGTGGGTATAAATAATTTTTTTTGAGACTGAGTTTCACTCTGTCACCCAGGGTGGAGTGCAATAGTGCGATTTCAGTTCACTGCGACCTCCACCTCCCAGGTTCAGTGATTCTTCTGCCTCAGCCTCCTGAGTAGCGGGATTATAGGCACCTGCCACCACACCCAGCTAATTTTTGTATTTTTAGTAGAGATGGGGTTTCACTATCTGTCCAGGCTGGTCTCAAACTCCTGATCTCAAGTGATCCTCCTACCTCAGCCTCCTAAAGTGCTGGGATTACAGGTGTGAGCCACTAAGCCCGGCCTTATGATGTATATTTATATAAGCAAGTATGTTTCAGGATTGTTAGAAATAGCAGCAAACTGTGTAAACAACTGAAATAATGAAGAAACTGGCCAAAGACAAATCTATATAAAAGTTACTGTGCACCTATTTTAAATATTGTGGCATATTTGTATATGCCAATGGGGAATGACCTTCAAGATATATTACATAGAAAAGAGCAAGATATAGAATAGTGTGTATAGTATAATCTCATTTATGTTAATTTATACATGTAAATGTAAACACCTGCTGGGAAGATATAAACTCATGACAGTGATTGTCTATGGAAGGGATGGTGGGGAAGTAGAATTTAGGCTTATTGAATTTTAGCTTTTGAGCTTTTTTCCCCCCAACAAATTTATTTATTTTTATTTGTTTTATTTTATTTTATTTTTTGAGGTGGAGTCTTACTCTTTTGCCCAGGCTGGAGTGCAGTGGTGCCATCTCAGCTCACTGCAGCCTCTGTCTCCTGGGTTCAAGCAATTCTCCTGCCACAGCCTCCCAAGTAGCTGAGATTACAGGCATGTGCCACCATGTCCAGCTAATTTTTATATTTTTAGTAGAGACAAGGTTTCTCTACTAAAAATGGTTTAGTAGAGACCATGTTGGCCAGGCTGGTCTCAAACTCTTGACCTCAGGTGAGCTGCCTGCCTTGGCCTCCCAAAGTGCTGGGATTATATGCGTGAGCCATCATGCCCTGCCCTTATGTGTGTTTTATTTGTCTTTTCTTTCTTTTTTTTTTTTTTTGAGACAGAGTCTTGCTCTGTCACCCAGGCTGGAGTACAGTGGCATGATCTTGGCTTACTGCAACCTCTGCATCTGGTTTCAAGTGATTCTCACGTCTCAGCCTCCCTAGTAGCTGGGATTACAGGCACCCACCACCATGCCTGGCTAATTTTTGTATTTTTTAGTAAAGACAGGGTTTCAGCATATTGGCCAGGCCAGTCTCGAACTCCTGACCTCAAGTGATGTGCCCACCTCAGCCTCCCAAAGTGCTGGGATTACAGGCATGAGCCATGTTTTATTTCTTTTCTTAAAAAACTCAAAGTTCAAATGCCCATTGATGATAGACTGGACAGGGAAAATGTGGCACATGTACACCATGGAATATTATGCAGCCATCAAAAATGGTGAGTTCGTGTCCTTTGTAGGGACATGGATGAACCTGGAAACCATCATTCTCAGAAAACTGACACAAGAACAGAAAAACACTGAATGTTCTCACTCATAGGTGGGTGTTGAACAATGAGAACACATAGACACAGGGAGGGGAGCACCACACACTGGAGTCTGTTGGGGGGAAATAGGGGAGGGACAGCAGGGGGCGGGGAGTTGGGGAGAGATAGTATAGGGAGAAATGCCAGATATAGGTGAAGGGGAGGAAGGCAGCAAATCACACTGCCACGTGTGTACCTATGCAACAATCTTGCATGTTCTTCACATGTACCCCAAAACCTAAAATGCAATTAAAACCTCAAAGTGAATATAATTTAATAGTCATTATTTGTGGGGTTGCCAGAATCTAGTGTATGTTATAATGTAATGTGAAATCTCTACATTTGTGGTTTTCTTAAAGGCTACCTTTTTGCTCAGAAGATTTGTAGAACATTTCAGAGTCGAGTCATGGCTCATGCTTGTAATCTCAGCACTTTGGGAGGCGGAGGCAGGAGGATCACTTGAGCCCAGGAGTTGAAGATCATCTTGGGCAACTGTATTAGTCCTGTCTCATGCTGCTAATAGAGACATACCCGAGACTGGGTAATTTATAAAGGAAAGAGGTTTAATTGACTCACAGTTCAGCATAGCTGGGGAGGCCTTAGGAAAGTTACGATCATGGCGGAAGGGGAAACATGTCCATATTCACATGGTGGCAGCAAAGAGAACTGCCAAGCGATAGGGAGAAAAGTCCCTTATAAAACCATCAGATCTTGTGAGGGCTCACTCACTATCACAAGAACAGCATGAGGGTAACCACACCCATGATTCGGTTACCTCCCACCAGCTCCCTCCCACAACACACAGGGATTATGGGAACTATAGTTCGAGACGAGATTTGACTGGGGACACAGCCAAACCATATCAGCAACATAGCAAGACCCCCATCTCTACAAAAAATTAAAAAAATTGCTGGGTGTGGTGTCTCACACCTGTGTTCCCAAACTACTTGGGAGGCTGAGGCAGGAGGACTGCTTGAGTCCAGGAGGTTGAGGCTGCAGTGAACTGTGATCATGCCACTGTACTCCAGACTGGGCAACAGAGTGAAACTCTGTCTCAAAAAGAAAAAAAAAAAGAACATTTCAGAAATTTCCAGAAGGCTTACATCTATATTTAGTATGGTTATCATTTTGAAAACCAGTCAATTAAGAAACTGAAGATGTAACTTACAAAGTAGGTGTGGCTTTTTGTCTCAAAGTTTCCATCAAAATTCCGTCTCTTTTCTCTAATACTTTCAATCCTTGAGAACAGAGAAAGTCTACAAATTTACTGGCTTAAAATTTCAAACCCTAATATCATTAGTATATCGAGATGTTTTAGTGTATTCGTCTTTATCATCAAATGTTGAGTTGATTGGTATTCCTTAATTTTTCCAGAGAATCAAATGAATAATTGTCTCTTCAGTTTCCCACAGTATATCTCCATACCAGGTTACATGTTCTATAGTTTTATTTAATGAATCATGTAATTAAAATCATTCTATTTTAATACTTGTATTTGCATGGCTATAAAATTTCTACTCTTGATGTTTTTATATGTAATTATTTCTAGGATCTGAAGAAGATGATGAAGTTGTGGCAATGATTAAGGAATTGTTAGATACTAGAATACGGTACGTGCTTCTCTTTCTACCCGAAATCAAGTGCTTTGGAGGCATTTTTCATTATAGCAATATAGTTTTAGTTGGCCATGAGATGAGAGTAGATTTTTTAAATAAGCACAAGTTAATATAAACCACAACAGGTAACCATGACAATTGAATTTAAAGCCTGTATCTTCTCTACATTTACTCAAAATTTTAAACCATCCAATATATTTAAACATATTCAATGAAGAAATGTATTCTTCACAGTCTCAATTTAGGTTTGATATTGTTATGATACCAAGTTTCTTAAAAAGAAAAAAAAAGACTTAATGTTTCAAAAGGTTGTAAAGACAGAATGAGTATTTATTTTCAGGATGTTGCCCATGAAGAATAAATTTAAATGAGTGGAGAACAGCAGGCTTCTACTTTTGCTTGTAGCAGAGCAACAGTCACGCTGAGAACTCCCAGAAAAGCTGGATAAAATACAATAAAAAGAATTTGTTTGAAGGCATTAAATAGCTGCCAGAGCAACTAAGATTTGAGGTGCCAAAATCCTGGAGAGAAGGGAAGCTCGCTGAGTTTTCCCTTCAGGCATATGCTGTTCCTTTCTATATAGCTAGAGTAGGAGAAACTGAGCAGAGGGCAGCTGCCAAGAATCAGAGAAACCATTGGGCCTTCAGAAAATTTGTTTAGATGGGAAGACAAAAATTAATATTCTGGGTTACCAGTGAAATCTTGATTTGAAGGACCAAGATCCTAGAGAGCAGGAAAGTTAAGAAAAGTAAGCCTATAGTTTTTTTTTGTTTTTTTTTTTTAAGATGGAGTCTCGCTCTGTCACCCAGGCTGGAGTGCAATGGCACAATCTTGGCTCACTGTAACCTCACCTCCTGTGTTCAAGCGATTCTCCTGCCTCAGCCTCCCGAGTAGCTGGGATTACAGGTGTGTGCCATCACATCCAGCTAATTTTTGTATTTTTTAGTAGAGACAGGGTTTCACCAGGTTGGCCAGGCTGGCCTCTAACTCCTGACCTCGTGATCTGCCCACCCTGGCCTCCTAAAGTGTTAGAATTACAGGCGTGAGCCACTGTGCCCAGCCAAGTAAACCTATAGTTAATAACAATGTATTGTATTCTTGAAAATTACAGCAGGGCATGGTGGTTTATGCCTGTAATCCCAGCACTTTGGGAGGCTGAGGATGGTGGATCACCTAAGGTCAGGAGTTCAAGACCAGCCTGCCCAACATGGTGAAACCCCATCTCTACCAAAAATACAAAAACTAGCCAGGTGTAATGACGGGCACCTATAATCCCAGCTACTTGGGAGACAAGGCAGGAGAATCACTTGAACACAGGAGGCAGTGGTTGCAGTGAGCCAAAATCGCACTGTTGCACTCCAGCCTGGGTCACAGCAAAACACCTTCTCAAAAAAAAAAATTGCTAAGATGGTAGCTACTAAGTGTTCTTGACACAAAAAATAAGTATGTGAGGTAATGTATATGTTAATTAGCTTGACGTAGCCATTCCACAGTGTATGAATATTTAAAAACATCATGTTGTACATGTGAATATATATGGTTCCTGTCAATTAGAATAATTAATTGGCTAGGTGGGGTGGCTCATGCCTGTAATCCCAGCACTCTGGGAGGCCACCAAGGGAAGTGGATCACTTGGGGTCAGGAGTTCGAAACCAGCCTGGCCAATATGGTAAAACTGTGTCTCTACTAAAAATACAAAAATTAGCCAGGCGTACCGAGTACCAGCTCGGCCAGAGAGACCCCCACCCAGGCGGCGCTGAAGGAAATGAGAGGCAGACACCTAGATAGAACAGCAAAGTGGGTCTGTGGGTGGGAGCAGGCAGCAGCCTTCCAAACCGAAAGCCTCAGGGGCTGACGGCATTCCAGGCTGAAGGCCTCCAGCAGATCCTGATCCACCTATTTATTCTCTCTGGACAGGTGATTATTATTAACAGACAGGCATTCTGTATTTTCTCATAACTCAAAGATATACCAAGTAGGCAGCTGTTGCCCACTTACCACTGATTACAGACAAACTAAAAGGTATTCTGCATGAGGGAGCCCTGGGGGCAGAGTCAGATATCTCAAAGAGTTGTTATAAGGGTGTATGATATTTATACATTGTCCTGCCACTTTGAAATGCCCCAAGTGGTTTTCCATTTGGAGTGGGGGGTGGCCAGGTTTTCCTTGCCACCATTCTTTCCAGCAAACAATATATTCTATCATACACTCAGCATTCATCAGCGTTCATAAACTTAATATTTCTTAACACAGGTGTGGTGGCACAACCCTATAATCCCAGCTATTTGGGAGACAGAGGCATGAGAATCACTTGAACCTGGGAGGTGGAGGTTGCAGTGAGCCAAGATTGTGTCACTGCACTCCAGAGTTAGACTCTGTCTCAAAAGAAGAAAAAAAATAGTAATAATTATTTTAAAATAAAGAAAAATAAGCCTAACACTCAGATTTTCTCCCATAAGGCACTTACTTATTTGTAGCTGTGTAAAAAAGGCTAAGAAGTTAAAAAAAAAAAAAAAAAAGTACTTGGAAGACAGAGCAGACTTTTGGCAGTTTTATGGTGCTAGGGTGGGGGACAAAAGTTAGAGTTTAGGCTCTGTCAAGGAGGTTGGGTCTTAAGAAACATCCAAGCTTGGCTAGGCTCAGTGGCTCATGCCTGTAATATGAGCATTTTGGGAGGCCAAAGTGGATGGATCACATTAAGGTCAGGAGTTTGAGACCAGCCTGGCCAACATGGTGAAACTCCATCTGTATGACAAATCCCAGCTACTCTGGCGGCTGAGGCAGGAGAATTGCTTGATCCAGAAGCAGAGGCAGAGGTTGCAGTGAGCCAAGGTCACACCATTGAATTCCAGCCTGGGTGACAGAAAGCCAGTGTCTCAAAAAAAAAAAAAAAAATCCAAGCTCTTGGTTAGGCTCTCCAGAGAACTATACTCTTAAAATGAAGACACATCAGAGGTAGACTAAGCTTACAAGACTGTAGGCCAGTATTAAGTCAGTTTAATTTCGAAGTAGATGAGCTATTGCCAGATGTAGGATGAATCCTTTTTTTTTTTTTGAGACAGAGTCTTGGTTTGTCGCCAGGTGCCAGGAGGAATGCAGTGGCACTATCTTGGCTCACTGCAACCTCTGCCTCCTTGGTTCAAGCAATTCTCCTGCCTCAGCCTCCCGAGTAGCTGGGACTACAGGTGCACACCACCACGCCCAGCTAATTTTTGTATTTTTTTTTAGTAGAGACGAGGCTTCACCATGTTGGCCAGGATGGTCTCGATCTCTTGACCTTGTGATCTGCCCACCTCAGTCTCCCAAGGTGCTGGGATTACAGGTGTGAGCCACTGCGCCTGGCCTTTTTTTAAAGTTGGAGACAGGGTCTTGCTTTGCTGCCCAGGCTGAAGTGCAGTGGCACGCTCATGGCTTATTGCATCCTCAGCTCCCCAGGTGTAAGTGATCCTCCCACCTTGGCCGTCTGAGTAGCTGGAACTACAGGTATGTGCCACCACGCCTAGCTAATTTTTGTATTTTTTTGTAGAGATGGGTTTTCCCCATGTTCCCCAGGGTTTTCTCAAACTCCTGTGCTCAGGTGATCCACCTGCCTCAGCCTCCCAAAGTGCTGGGATTATAGTGTTCATAATTCAGTCAGATATTGCTAGGCATATCTAGAAACTAAACCAAGATAAAATAAAACAGATTCATAGGAAACCTAGATATTGGATATTTTAAACACATGGTATTTAAAAAACTGTGATAAAAAAATAGCAAGATGAAGAATTTCATCAGAGAACTGGAATCTGTAAAAAAAGAATTAGTAACTCTGGAACTAAAATGATAATAACTGAACTTAAGAATTCATTAGATTAGGTTAACATTAGATTGGACATAGTTGAAGAGAAGATTAGCATACTGGAATTTAAGTCAGTAGAAAATACTCAGCTTGAAGCACAGGGAGATAATAGAATAGAAGGTATAGGAAAGAAGCATGAGAGGGTGGGCATGGTGCTCACACCTGTAATCTGGCATTTTGGGAGGCTGAGTCAGGGGGATTGCTTGAGCCCAGAAGTTAGAGACCACCCTGGCAACATAGTGAGACCCTGTCTCTACAAAAAATTAACCAATTAGGTGGGTGTGGTGGTGTGCACCTGTAGCCTTAGCTGCTCATGAGGCAGAAAGATTGCCCGAACCTGGGAGGTTGAGGCTGCAGTGAACTGTGATCACACCATTGTACCCTGGTCTAGGTGATAGAGGAAGACCCTGTCTCACCAAAATTTAAAAAAAAGTTTCAAGCCTATGGAGGGGAGAAATAGAATAAAAGGTACTTCATCAATCCAAAACATTGCAAAATAAGAAACAGTAAATGATAATATAAACCCAAAAGTATTGGTGTGTAAATGACAATATTTTGATGAACAAAAATAAGATTGTCAAATTGGATGTGAAAAAACAAAACCAACTATATACTGCTTAGAAGAGATATAGGGGCCAAGCATGTAGCCATATACTACTTAGAAGAGATATAGTGGCCAAGCATGGTGGCTCATGCCTGTAATCCTAACATTTTGGGAGGCTGAGGGGCAGATTGCTTGAGCCCAGGAGTTTGAGACCAGCCTAGGCAACATAGTGAGATGCCATCTCTACAACAAAAGAAAGAGCGAGAGAAAGAAAGAGAGGGAAGGAAGGGAGGGAAAGAGGAAGGGTGAAAGAAAAGGAAAGAGAAGAAAAGAAATAGAATATTTGTATGACCTTTGGGTAGGCAAATTTTTTTTTCAATGGACATAAGAAATCAGGTTAAAATCAAGGAAAATACATATAAATTGGGCTACAGTAAAATTGTGACTCTTTCTTCATTGGAAGATGCCATTGGCTGGGCACAGTGGCTTATGCGTGTAATTCCAGCCACTTAGGAGGCTGAGGTATAGGGGAGGCTCCCTTGAGCCTAGGAGTTTTACGTAGCAGTGAGCTGTGATCATGCCACTGTACCTCCAGCCTGCGTGGCAAAGTGAGACTGTTAAAAAAAAAAAGCCATTTACAGTGAAAAGGCAAAGCACAGATTAGAAGATATTTATGCATTTATATGACAGAATATATAAATAACTTGTACAAATTGGTAAGAAAAAGATAATCAGAGACTGGAGCAGATAATTCACAAAAGATAATCAAAAAGCAGCTGGGTGAGGTGGCTCACACCATAATCACAGCACTTTCGGAGGTTGAGGTGGGTGGATCACCTGAAGTCAGTAGTTCGAGATCAGCCTGGCCAACCTGGTGAAACTCCATCTCTACTAAAAATACAAAAAAATTAGCCAGCCATATAGGCGCATGCCTATAATCCCAGCTATCCAGGAGGCTGAGGTAGGAGAATCACCTGAAGGTTGTGGAGGTTGCAGTGAGCTGAGATCGTGCCACTACATTCCAACCTGGACAAGAGTGAGACTCTTTCTCAAAAAAAAAAGACAAGTAGCCACTAAACTTGAAAAAGTGCTTAACCTTATTAGTTATTATTAATAATCAAACCACAATTAAATATTAGTACAAATCCACTAAGAAAGTTAAAACTATTAAGACTGACAACACCAATTGTTGGTGAGGATGTGGAGCAACAGAAACTCTCATATACTGCTGGTGGGAATGTAAGTTTATGTAACTGGAAAACTATATGGCAGTATTTATTACATCTCAACATATTCATACTCTTCATTCAGCAATTTCACTTTCAGGTATATTTCCAGTAGTAATATATATGCATAACAAAAAACATTTCGAAGAATCTTTATGGCTGCACTGTTTGTAAAAGCCAAAACCTAGTAGTAACTTAAATGTCCATCAACAGTAGAATGGATAAATAAATTCTGGTATATTTACTTAATGGAATACTATGCAGCAATGTGAGTAAATGACCTAGTACTATATTCAGCAACATAGATGAATCTCACAAAGAGCACAAGAAGCCAGATACAAAAGAGTTATTCTATGTTATTTATAAATATAATTCATATTTGTAAATTATTTAGTTTAGGCAGAACTAATCAACGGTGATACGAATTAGGATAATGGCTGTGTTTTGTTGTGGGGAGTGATTGGAAGGAAGCCCAAAGGGGACTTTTGGAGTCTTGGTGTTGTTTCTTGGCTTGGGTGGTTTTAAATGTGTGTTCACTTTTGAAAATGTCGTGAACTGTACATACATGATTTTAAGCATTTTTCTTTATTAATGTTATATTTCAATGAAAAATTACTTGAAAATGAAGCCAGCATGTAACAGTCTCCCTCTCCCTTCACTCAAAAGAAGTGACTGAATATATCTTAGGTAATCACAATTATTAGGAAATTTGAAATCTTAAATGCTTTAAAATGTCATAGTTTTTATTTATTTAAATTAATTTATTTATTTGTAGAGATGGGGTTTCACTATGTTGGCCAGGATGGTCTAAATCTCTTGACCTTGTGATCCTCCCACCTCGGCCTCCCAAAGTGTTGGGATTACAGGTGTGAGCCACTGTGCCCGGCCCATAGTTTTTATTTAAAAAAATTTTTTTTAGAGACAGGGTCTCTCTGTGTCACCCAGGCTGGACTGCAGTGGCATGATAATAGCTCACTGAGCTTCCAACTCCTGGGCTTAAGCAACCCTCCTACCTTGGCCTCCCAAATTGCTGGGATTACAGGTGTGAGCCACCATTCCCAGCCTTGAAAAGATTATTGGTAAACAAGATCAAATGTGGTAAGTGGAGTAAATATTTGTATGAGTGAATTTTGGTATTTTATCTGAGAGTGAAAAAAAAGTTAAAATTATAAATAAAACTTAGCCACAGTTATTATTCTCTGTTTTAAAAGTAGCTCTTTGTGAATTTTACCATTATAACATGTAAGCTCTGAGCTGTATTAAGTTTTTTCAATGATAACTTGTATTTTAAAGAATAAGTAATAAATATTCTTTGACCTCACAGGCCAACTGTGCAGGAAGATGGAGGAGATGTAATCTACAAAGGCTTTGAAGATGGCATTGTACAGCTGAAACTCCAGGGTTCTTGTACCAGCTGCCCTAGTTCAATCATTACTCTGAAAAATGGAATTCAGAACATGCTACAGTTTTATATTCCAGAGGTAGAAGGCGTAGAACAGGTATGCCAATATTATATGACAGTGTAGATTTTTTTTTCTTTGTAGATATAAAGGCTGGAAATAGATGTTAAGGCAAGTATTTGAAAAGAAGTTCATGACGTAGCTTTTTATTCAAAGGATAGATTTTTGTGTTGCAATTTTTTGTTTTTGTTTTTTGAGATAGAGTCTCACTCTGTTGCCCAAGCTGGAGTGCAGTGGCAGGATCTCAGTTCACTGCAACCTCTGCCTCCCGGGTTCAAGCGATTCTCCTGCCTCAGCCTCCTGAGTAGCTGGGAGTACAACCGTGTGCCACTACACCCAGCTCATTTTTTGTATTTTTAGTAAAGACAGGGTTTCACTGTGTTAGCCAGGATGGTCTCGATTTCTGGACCTCGTGATCTGCCCACCTCAGCCTCCCAAAGTGCTGGGTACAGGTGTGAGCCCCTCTCCTGGCTCATTGTCTTGCAATTTTTATCAGACTTGAAATCTCTTATTATAGAAGTAACTTCAGTGTTATGAATACCTACTATGTGCAAGGCATTTTTACTAATATTACCTCATTTCAACTTCTAATAAACACAGTCCATTAAGTCATTCCCATTTGCACACAATACAGCAGAGACTTAGAGGGCATATTGCTGCTCTGAATGCACAAAAATTGTGAAAAAGGTTAAAACGTAACGCAATGTTTTATAGATGAGATTTAGAAATCTTTAGTGGAAGAACTCTACTACATCATATTTATTCACTTTGTTGTTGTTGTTGTTGTTGGTAGAGACATGGGTCTTGCTATATTGCCCAAGCCGGTCTTGAATTCCTGGCCTCAAGCAATTCTCCCAAAATGCTGGGATTAAGGATTAACACAACTGGCTTAATCTATGTATTCTTAAACATGCAAGCAAGAAGCCCATTAAGAAATCATAGTTCATCGCTATACTAAGTAGAATTCTAGAGCTTTATGTATGGCACAATATCAACATTTTTTTCTTGCCAACATACCTAAGGAATATAGCATAGCACCTTGTCATCAGTGATAGACTCTCACTGCAGTGATTCTTAACTAGAAGTCATGGCTTTATGGAGAGAGATTATCAAGGAGGGAAGAAGGGATGTATGGAAATTAGAAATTTTCAACCCACAGAACCTCAGGTAATTCTTTTTTTTTTTAGACAGAATCTTTCTCTGTTGCCCAGGCTGGAATGCAGTGATATGATCACCACTCACTGCAACCTCTGCCTCCCGGGTTCAAGCAATTCCCATGCCTCAGCCTCCTGAGCAGGTGGAATTACAGGCATGTGCCACCATTTTTTGTATTTTGTATTTTAGTAGAGACTGGGTTTCACTATGTTGCCCAGGCTGGTCTCGAACTCCTGAGCTCAGGCAATTTGCCCACCTCGGCCTCCCAGAGTGCTAGGATTACAGGCATGAGCCACCTCAGGTAATTCTGTGCCCTAGCCCCATTGGAAATCACTCATCCTTGGGTAGTATTAAAATTCATTGGTTTCACAGTGAGCAGGTCTATACAAACCTATCCCCAAAGTCTGAGGTTGCTGAGAGGCTGAAGAAAGAGGCTGACGAATCCAGTTGGTCAGAAAGAAACATTTAATATGGACTGAGGAACAGAAGCCATTTCTCTGGTGGTTGCAATGATGGATCCCCACGTTGTTACCCCATAGACTTAGGGTTTATATACCATAAGGAATGGGTATACATGCTTCAGAAGATATGTGTAGGACAATTAAAGTCAACCCCTCTGGAAAAGGCAAGAATGCTTATTTCCCTAACAGCATAAGCAAATTATAGGCTAAGTATGTGTTTAGGATAACACCAAGGTTGTTTTGACCTAAAGGCAGTATTAAGTAGAAGTCTTAGAGGCATTCCTAGAACTGATGTTAGTGAACATGGCAGATTAGCATTTAAGATGGAGTTGCCTTAGCCTCCACACCATCGTTTTTGTCCAATACATGCCATCTCCTCTTTGAAGTCTTTATCAGTCTCCCACTTGGAATTAAGTTCTTCTTTGACAGGTCCAAAGCTTCTGTTTTGGCTTTATGTTTATGCAACTTTCTGTATCTGTTTTAGCTTTATGTTATGTGGAAGTTCCCTAAGAGACTTGAAATCATATCCAAGTCTTTGTATTCCCCGGCAACAAGTAGCCCTGTGCCTTACGTCCTATACATGCTTTATTATTCCAAATTAAGGAACAATTCTGCCTAAAATATGAGTTGGTTGACAAAATTTTTTGGATTGAGTATTGTTAAAATTGGATGTAAAATATTAATTTTTTGGAAATAAATACCAATTTTTACTCAACTGAAAAGATATCCTATGAAAGAATTCTTTTTCTATTGATTGCCTCAGATCAGAGCCAGAATCTCTCTCTCTCTATATATATATTTTTTTTTTTGAGATGTAATTTCACTCTTGTTGCCCAGGCTGGAGTGCAATGGCGTGATCTCGGCTCACTGCAACCTCTGCCTCCCAGGTTCAAATGATTCTCCTGCCTCAGCCTCCTGAGTAACTGGGATAACAGGTGTGCGCTACCACGCCCAGCTAATTTTTGTATTTTTAGTAGAGATGTGGTTTCACCATGTTGACCAGGGTGCTCTCGAACTCCTGACTTCAGGTGATCCACCCACCTCGGCCATCCAAAGTCCTGGGATTACAGGTGTGAGTCACCACATCCAGCCTAGATTGATTGATTGATTCTTTCTTTCTCTCTTTCTCTCTCTCTCTCTTTCTTTCTTTTTCTTTCTTCTTTCTTTCTTTGAAACTCTTATTTTTGTTCCATTATCATTTATATGCCTTTAAAAAATTAGTTAGTTGACACTTTGGTGGATTGACTGAGGAACATTTTTATTCATTTGTCCAGGGTGGGGTGCCAAATTGGCCTTCAGATTATAAACTTGAATTGGCATCTAATTGTAGTAGGTGTGTTGAGGAGAAAAAACATTCTTAGGTTTATGTAACTTTTTCCTTCCCAACAGAGTAAGTCTGTTATCTTAGTAATACATTAACTCGTGGAAAGATAATAGCTGCGGTAACATTTTTCTGAGGTTTAAAATGATCTTTTTTCTGAATAAGACCATAATTAGTTCCTAATATGGGGTTTTTTGTTTTGTTTTGTTTTTTGTTTTTTTACTTTCTTTGGGGATTCATTTTAACAAAAATAAATATTTTTATAATAACAGTTTGGTATAGCTTCACAGAATATATTTAAGTAAATAAGATGGTTTTGAAAAAAAAAAAGACAAAAAGTCAATTACATTAGTCTTATGGCTAGAGAATACCAGTTAATTATTTATAGTCATTTCTGCCCACCTGAGACTCTGCTATGGGTAACCTCTTAGAGACAAGGAGAAGTGATCAGTGCTTTAATTAATTTCCAAATATTTAATTTGCTTTTATGTTTTTATGATACCAGGTTATGATTCAAACCTTGTTCTTTGGGACTGTTGATAGATTTATTCTTACTGGCTTGCCATGCATTGTTATAGAGTGTATCAGGTAAAAAAGTAATATAAAAATCAGGAAAATAGCAAAATCTAATCATTTTCTTAATTCTTAAGTTGTCTTTGTTTTTCGTTTTTAGGTTATGGATGATGAATCAGATGAAAAAGAAGCAAACTCACCTTAAAATAATCTGGATATTCTTTGGGTACAACAGTCAGACTTGTTGATAATATATACAAGTTTTTATTATTAATAGGCGGAGGAACTTAAAGATTAATAAAATATCTTCAGAGAATGATATATAAATATTGTGTGTTTGCTTTACCTCAGATGAGTTATTTATAACCTCTTGAATCATCTTCTGTACACGTGGATTTTATCCAAGGATATTTTTATTTTTGTTCCTCATTTCCCATGGCTCCTTCTTTACATATGTGTGAAGGAATTTAAAATACATTTCTTCTCATCTAATTTATTTACTTTTTTTACACAGGAAGAAACAGAATGCTATTAAAAATTATAAAATTACTTTTTGTGAAATATCTAAAACTATTTTTACTAAAGTTTTGTTGTTTTGTTGTTGTTGTTTGAGACAGTCTTCCTCTGTCGCCAGGTGCCAGGCTGGAGTGCAGTGGCACGATCTCAGCTCACTGCAGCTTGCACCTCCCCGGTTCAAGCAATACTCCTGTGTCAGCCTCCCGAGTAGCTGGGACTACAAGCACGCACCACAACGCCCAGCTAATTTTTGTATTTTAGTAGAGACGGGGTTTCACTACGTTGGCTAGGATGGTCTTAATCTCTTGACCTCATGATCCGCCTGCCTCGGCCTCCCAAAGTGCTGGGATTACAGGCATGAGCCACCGCGCCCAGCCTTTTACTGAAGTTTTTAGCTTAAGAAACAGCTAAGCAATTCTGTTTTAAAAATTGTAGCCCCCAATTAAGTAGCACAGAACTTCTTAAGACCAAAAAAGAAAAAAAAATGGCCTGGTGCAGTGGCTTACACCTGTAATCTCAGCACTTTACTAGGTAGGCAAGGCTGGTGGATCAGGAGGTCAGGAGTTTGAGACCAGCCTGACCAACATGGAGAAACCACATCTCTACTAAAAATACAAAAATTAGCTGGGCGTGGTGGCGCACATCTGTATTGCCAGCTACTCAGGGATTTCAGATCTCAGGCTGAAGCAGGAGAATCGCTTGAACCCAGGAGGTGGAGGTGGCAGTGAGCCAAGATTGAGCCACTCCAGCCTGGGTGACAGCAAGACTCCACCTCAAAATAAAAAAAAGTGAAAAACTCAAAAACTAATTCCAGAATCCGGACACAGTTTCTATTGGTTAAGACAGAGAATTAGAAAAACTGCCTCAGTATGCCCAGCCTTTACCTGATAAATCAGAATTGCTGAAGACAAGGTAAGAAGTTGCTTTGGTCCTTCCACCGGCTTCTGACTCAGAGATCCATAATCTGTACCATGCCAGAAATGTGCACCGTTGTCTTTCTACCATAGGGGTACTGCTTTTTCAGGTACCCAAAAGAGTGATTTAGCCTTCCCTCTTATTTTTCTATAGTAATTCAGAGACTGCAGTTAACAAAATACTGGGAAAGAAAAGATGGGAAAATAGTAGTGATACATTGCATCTCTGGAATTCTAGTCCCCCAAATTAAGGAGATTAAGATACTGATGGAAACAGGAAGAACTCTAGCAGTTGTGAGTGCTGGGAATTGAAGTTTTTACTTTTGTCCTTTGGTTCACTGAACCAGATAGTAGGGTTGGAGAATTCATTCCTTGAGATACCATGTGTGAATTTAATTTAGACGCTGGGAATTGCTCTATAAGCAAGGAAACTTAACCTGCCCTTTAGTTGAAGCTACAGGAAATTAACATTGTGGATAAGATGCAAGTAATGACAGATCTTGGATGTGGCCATGAAATAAGTGGCTGAATCAGGTGGAGGATTAGATTATTAGAAGAGAGGAAATTGGCCAGGCGCAATGGCTCATGCCTATAATCCCTGCACTTTGGGAGGCTGAGGCAGGCAGATCACTTGAGGTAAGGAGTTCGAGACCAGCCTGGCCAACAGTGAAACCCCATCTCTACTAAAAATACAAAAATTAGCCAGATGAGGTGGCGTGTGCCTGTAATCCCAGCTACTCAGGAGGCTAAGCCACAAAAATCCTTTGAACCTGGGAGGCGGAGCTTGCAGTGAGCTGCAATGGTGCCACTGCACTCCAGCCTGGGTGACGGAATGAGACTCTCAAAAAAAAAGAAAAAAGAAAAGAAAAAAGGAAATGATTCAATTGAGAGGCCAAAGTATTGGAAAGATTTTCCATAAAAGTGAACAGCCATGAAGAATAAGGAGGAAAGGGGTGGGAAGAATATTCTAGGCATAAAGAGCAGTGTAATCAGAATTATAAGTGTGAAATATATTTTGGAAGCTCAAGAAGCTAAGTATGGCTTGAGTATAAAGTGGAAATGGTGCACAAGCAGGCAGTGGTAGTATAGAGAGTGCCACAGAAACTCCTGGTTGCCTACCCTACACATACCCTTACTTCTTATTAAGGAAGGCCCTCTCAGTAGATCTCACCTCAGTCCCAGGGGATAAGTTAGGACTAGTTTAAACTGGTCACTTTAACTCCATTTTCTTTTCCAATCATTAGTCTGTGAGTAGCCATATGACCCAGCTCTGGCCAGTAAACTCAAAGAAAAAGTCTTTGGAGAACTCTGGAAATGTTGTCTTTCCTGGTTAAGAGAGTGTGTGTGTGAGTTAATCTCTGGAAAGAAGACTCATTTTCCTCCCATCTGTTCCTCTCCTTCTTGCTTGGTATACTGTGGAGTGTGATGTTCAAAGCAATGACAGTAAACTTGTAATCATGACTAAAAGATGGTCCACTGAGAATAGCAAAGAAAGGGAGGGAGCAGATCCTTGGCTGGGTGCGGTGGCTCACGCCTATAATCCCAATACTTTGGGAGGCCGAGGCGGGTAGATCACTTGAGGCCAAGAGTTTGAGACCAGCGATGCCACCATGGTGAAAACTCGTCTCTACTTAAAAACACAAAAATTAGCCTGGTGCAGTGGCACGTGCCTGTAGTTCCAACTACTAGGGAGGCTGAGGCTTGAGAATCACTTGAGCCTGGGAGGTGGAGGTGGCAGTGAGGCAAGATCACATCACCACTGCGCTCCACCCTGGGCGACAGAGCAAGACTCTGTCTCAGAAAAAAAAAGAAAGAAAGAAAGAAAGGGTCTGAATCCTTGATGCATTGTTGGCCTTTTGGCCAGGCTAGGAATTACCCACTTCGAGAGTTTATATGAAGTGAGATCAATGTTTTTCTTGTTTTAGCCACTGTTATCAGGTATTCTGTAACTTGGTAAACATAGAGGACTTGGCAAATGCTTTTGCTGATTTTTCATTTGTGGTATACTGTCTAATGTCAACCTTAAAATGAAAACAGTCTAGGGGTGGTGGCTCACACCTGTAATCCCAGCACTTTGGGAGGCCAAGGCCTGATCACCTGAGGTCAGGAGTTTAAGACCAGTCTGGCCAACATGGTGAAACCCTGTCTCTACTAAAAAAATGGAAAAAGTAGCCGGGCATAGTAGTGGGTTCCTGTAATCCCAGCTACTCAGGAGGCAGAGGCAGGAGAACCACTGGAACCTGGGAGGGAGGCGGTGGTTGTAGTGAGCCAAAATCACACCACTGCACTCCAGTCTCCGTGGCAGAGCAAGACTCCATGTCAAAAAACAAATTGACATGTACGTTTTAATTAATTGAACCACTATCCAAAGATTAATCAGGTAATAGTTTTTATTTTGGAATATTTATACTGAATTTCTCCCTATATAATCCCAAAGAAAGAATAATAATCACTATTAGTTGTGTTTAGCTAAAACAAAAATTGAAAAAAAAATCCCCAAAATGTATAAAACATATATTTTTTAACTTTTATTTTTAAAATAGAGATGGAGTCTTACTCTGTTCCCCAGGCTGGAGTTGCAGGTATACAATCATAGCTCAATGCAGCCTCAAACTCCTGGGCTCAAGCCATCTGCCTGCCTCAGCCTCCCAAGTAGCTAAGACCACAGGCATGCACAACCATGTCCAGCTTTTATAAAATATTTTTACATGAAATATTCTGAAAACACTTTGTAAATATAGGATTCTTCAATAAGTATGTGAAACTAAGATTATTGGTCAAGAGAAAGCCAGGCACATGGAGGATTTTTTTTTTCTTTTTTTTTTTTTTTGAGACAGGGTCTCTCTATTGCCCAGGCTGGAGTGCAGTGGCATGATTATGGCTCATTGCAGCCTTGACTTCCCAGGCTCAAGTGATTCTCCCACCTCAGCTCCCAAGTAGTTGGGACTATAGGTGCACATTACCACACCCAGCTAATTGTCTTTTTTTTTTGTAGAGATGGGTTTTACCATGTTGCTTAGGTGGATCTGCAACTCCTGGGCTCAAGTGATCCAACTGGCTCAGCCTCCCAAAGTGCTGAGATTATAGGCATGAGCCACCATGCCTGGGCTGAGGATTTTTCACTAAAATCCTCAAAATTAGGATGAAGCCCTATGCAGGATGACATATGGTCATATGAGAGCAACATATGATAAAAAATAGCGAATGTTCATTGAATATTCAATGTTCATTAATTCATTGAACATCCTTTGTCTTCAAGCCTGAGGTTTTCACATTATTCTAAGCACCTTACATTTATGGATCATTTAATCCTGTGAGATAGGTAACTATTGTCTCCCTGCACCCTCCTCCCTTTCTTTTTTTTGAGACAAAGTCTTGTTCTGTTGTCCAGGCTGGAGTGCAGTGGCACATCTCAGCTCACTGCAACCTCCTCCTCCCAGGTTCAAGCGATTCTTCTGCCTAAGCTTCCAGAGTAGCTGGAATTACAGGTGTGCACCACCACACCCGACTATTTTTGCATTTTTGGTAGAGACAGGATTCACCATATTGGCCAGGCTGGTCTCAAACTCCTCACCTCAAGTTATCTACCCTTCTTGTCCTCCCAAAGTGCTGGGATTACAGGTGTGAGCCACTGCGCCTGGCCTATTGTTCCCATTTTTATAAACTGGAAGATGTAGGCACAAGAAAAAGTACATTGTCCATTGCCATGCAACTTGAGTGGAAAAGCCAGGAACATGAACTCTGGCATTCTGGCTGTAAGCCATGTGCATATGATAGCTATACTATTCTGCCTTAAGGAAGTTGAGCCCATACCCCTCTTGAGTATTCCTACTTGAGGGAGGAGAGACACTTTCCTTGCTTGCACAGGTGCTTACTAGTGGGCAAGAGTCTAGAACC